ATTTAATTTTATTTAAAAACAAGAGAGAACGCTACAGTCGAGCAAGCCCGACAGTGTAATACCCTGTACCCAGGTAAACTTGCGTCACTGAGTTATATGCGCCCATAGCAGCAGCAAAAAGGGGAAGAAGAAGGGCGCACTTGTTGTGGGGGTTGTACTGGCGAGAATTTGTTTTGCTAATAACTTTTCTTAAAATTGACCGAATTGAATAAAATTTTGAACAACAATAGACAATTATATTAAATTATGTGTTTGGTTTAGGTAGCATTTGAAATGTGGACGCTATTGACGAAATTCTGTAGCGGGGGAAGGGGGGGAAAATTAAAAAAAAAAAAAAACTCGTCCTTACTCGGATCTAGGAGAATCTGGATGCCAACTTTGGTTATTCCAGCTTTTATAGTTTCTGAGATCCTTGCGTTCATCCAGACGGACGGACAGACGGACATGTCTAGATCGATTTCTCTCGTCATGCTGATCAAGAATATATATACTTTATGGGGTCGGAGATGCTTCCTTCTGTATGTTACATACTTTGCACAAACCTAATATACCCTTTTTACCCTACGGGTACAGGGTATAAAAATAAATAAACCTTAAATAACATGAACTTAATTTTTAGAGTACTGCACCCATGTCGGCACACTATTTTATTTAAGTATGAAGCTACAGTTTCGTTTTGGCGACTACCCTTTATAAACAGCAGAATTGTTTGCCCTTTATTTTGAGGCATCACTGTCTATTATTTAATTTTATAAGTTTCTACTGCTCTCTGGCCTCTACCTTTCCAGTTAGTAGCCTGATGCCTGATGGCAAAATAGTTGACCAACAGCTGCAGCCCCGGCCCCAGCCCCAGCCCCACCACCAGCTACAACAACAACAAGAAGCAGAACGACGTGCTGTTTTTATTATGTTGCTCGTGCCAGTGCGTTGCTTCCCCGATTGTTGTGTAAATTGCATTTATTGTATGGTCAACAAAGTGCATTTGCCCAATAGCCAACCAATGCCAACAACAAAGGGGATAACAACAACTACAGCTACAACAAGGACAAAAACAAACACGATGGAGCCTTACGGTGGGATATTCCGTATTTGTAATTTTTCCTTTCTCTACTCGAATATATTTTTGTTTCATTTAAATTGCCATTAGTGTGGCTTTGTTCCCAGGTGTGTCAGGCGCCTCGTCTCATACCCCCCCACCCCCCCCCCCCCTCTCCCACCCACATCAAATATTTGTTTGTACCATTTAGCTAGCCACAGCATTAGGGTTGCCGTTGTCTCACATCCAACTACACCAACATTTTTAAATTTTCACTCCTCCTGAGCACCATTTTGCAGTCGCCATTCTCTCTTTTTCTCTCTCTATTTATCTTTCCTTGTTGCTTCTACACTTGCCTGTGTGCTAAATATTCAACACTTGCCTTTTCACCGACTACCAGCATTCTGCTCGTTTTTTGTCAGTGTAACAACTCGAGTTTTTAATTAAAACAAGAAAGGAATGCTAAAGTCGAGCTGGCTCAACTCTTAAATACCCTGTACCACCCCACAAAAAAGAAATTAAATTAATTAAATTAATCAATTAATTTAATTTATTAACTAAATTAAATATAAAATATTCCATACATGCATACATACATTTACATCAGAATCGTGTCTATGCGTGTTTGTGTACTTGTACATATGTATGTATCTGTGCACTGGGCCTGGTTATATGGCTATAACTTTCTTCCTGATCAACTATAATCACTAACTGTATGTGTCATCCAAAATTCCAAGAAATACGGGAGTTATAGAAAATCGTGAATAGGGGTGGAGCGGGGGGGTGCATCGGGAAAAATGATTAAACGCGTCCTTTCTCGGGCTCAAGAGAATCCAGATACCAAGTTTGGTTATTCTAGCTCTTATAGTTTCTGAGATCCTTGCGTTCATACACGGACAGACGGACAGACAGACGGACAGACGGAAATGGCTTTATCGACTCGGCTTGTCATGCTGATCAAAAATATATATACTTTGTGGGGTCTGCCACGCCTCCGCCTGTGTCTTACATGTACACCCGCACAAAACTAATATACCCTTGTACCCTTTGGGTACAGGGTATAACAACAATGTGCTGCCCACATGGTCAGCCCTCTCACACCCTCACCCTTAAAAACACACACACACACTGGCATATTATTGTGTTGCTATATACGAATACATGCATGGTTGTTGTTTTCTACCTTTAATACAAATGCGACTACCCTTCCAAAAAAGAATGTGCTGTGTTTTTTCGCTTGATTTGTAACGCAATAGATACAAACACATATAGTATAGTCCTTTTTGATCTGACAAATTTATTAAAATTTTTAAAGATTCCATTATTTTATACAACACATTCAACTTGTAATTACTTAAAAGCCCATAAATTTTGGTAACCCCTCGCTTAGCTTTGGTTTTTGTGTACCCAACCAGTAGTCGAGTACGTATTACATTCGCGTTCTCCATTATATCGAGGGACGGAAATATATCTAGACTGATGGGAGTGAAGCGTATTATAGATTCGTCTTTCCCTGGCTTAGCATTGTATTTATTTTGTATTCTTTCAACCACTCATCCCTTTGCCATTGTCGGCCTGCGTGTTTTGTTTTCTTTTGTGTCTCTGTTTGTGTGAAATGTGATAAGTGAAATATGCTTTTTAGTTGCATTTTCAATTTAGCCATTCAATGGGATTCCAATTTGATTTCATTGCTGGTCAACGGCACGGGTGAAACAGTTTGGTTGCCTGTAAGACAAAAACAAAACACACATTTGAAATGTCTGCAAATGAACATGCCGACAAAGCTCCATTCCTTCTCCTAGTACATACATACTCCTACATACATACATATACTTGTGCATATGTATGTATATACTCAATAGGTACAAGGGAAAAATGGAACAGAGATGTTGCTTTCAATGCAAACCAAGCAAGGCCTCTTCAAGCCCTTTCAGAGACTGTATTTGCATGTACGTAGATGATAGCCAACAAGTTTTGCAAGTTTATTGACCCTGCCACAAACCGTAGACATATAGTACAGCTAGCCCAGACCGTTTAAAATGCGCGTCATGTCGTGGCCACCTGACGAGCACTTGACACGTTTTATGCGCCAGTCGCCAGCCGCCCTGCAACGCCTCCAACATGCAACAGTGCAACATTTTTAATGTCTTTGACTTTGGCCCCGCAATGGGCAGTAGGGGCAGAGGCGTGCCTGCCTCCTGCAAGTGGGTAAGTGGCACAAACATTTACCAAGTCAACAGACAAGTCGAGCAGCACAGGCGAAGTTGCTGCCATCGCCAAAGCCAGAGGCCAACAATGGCTGCAGGCAGCAAAGTGCACTGCACATTCATATTCATACTCACACAAAAACAAGCCCTTACCCCTTTCACCACACACACACACACACACAAACACACACACACGCGCACACACACGCTGAGTGACACTTAGTTGCACGACACCGACGACAGCACCGACTACGACAAAGAAGGGCGCGACATTGCGGGAAAGATAATCATGGAAATAGACTGTGTAATTCTGTATAATGTCAGCCAGAAATTTATAAAGTGGGTGGCGGGTCACTCCGATTTTCACACAGAGGCACCTTTTATAGATAGCTGTGCGAGGTCACGGCACATAAAAGCGAATAAGTTTTAGAATTTCAATGAGCAACCCATTTCTTTCAGGCTCTTGATAATAATAAAATGTCTTGAAAACAATTAATTTTTTTTAAATGATAAAGAAAGGCTGCTGTCACTTATTTAGACATAAAGAGGTCCACCTAAGCCTAATGCGATTGATGTGTCCAGGATTGTGCTGCAATCCTAATTTAATCTCCTCGTATGACTCATAATCTAGTAACTACCTGGGAGCATCATTTCACTGTACTTTTCAAAATAAAACAAGAGAGAACGCTACAGTCGAGCAAGCCCGATAGTAAAATAGCCTGTACTCTCCACAAAAAAGGAAAACCAAAAAAAAAAAAAAAAAACAGCTGCGGGCAGCGCTGCGGCAGAGCTGCAGGCAGCGCATGAGCAGCGATTTTATTTATGGCTATAACTTTCTTCACAATTGACCTATCATGGTGAAACTTGGCGCACGGACACATTAGTACTATCTGGATGTATCTACCAAAATTGATTTCAAAATTCCAAGAATTACGGAATTATAAACAAAAACACGAATTGCGGGGGAGTGGGGGGTGTATCAGAATAAAAAAAATAAACTTGACCTGCCTAGGACTTGAGGAAACCTGGATACCAAGTTTGGTTATTCTAGCTCTTGTACCTCCTGAGATCCTTGCGCTCATACAGACAGACGGACATGGCTATATCGACTCGTCTTGTCATCCTGATCAATAATATATATACTTTGTGGGGTCTGCCACGCCTCCTTCTGTGTGTTACATACATGCGCACAAAACTAGTATAGCCTTTCTCCCTTTGGGTACAGGCTATAAACAGGACTTTCCTGTCATAACTTACGCCAATACAGCAGCGTTTTTCTGGCTTAGCTTCGTTTAGATACATCGAGTAGACTTACAACATCGACACCAACCGCTAGTTAGGAATTACTTTGGTAATCAGGTTCTTCAGAAATGTATAAATGTAACTATCAGAGTAGCTACCCGACAATGACAAGTCGCAAAGAACCGATTAAATACATAGAATACATTGAAGACATACAGTATTTTCGTGCTGCTCCAGACGTCCAATCTCCGAGACAGGACTTCCGTACTGCCGTAGGGTTGAAGACGCACACAAAGTAATGCAAACAAAAAAGACAGGATTTCCGGTAGTGCTTCGATTAGCGTACGTTTTAAACATATCTGTCGGAGAGTTTTACATTCCTTGAAGGCCATCAGTCAGGCGCCCATCCCTCACAAGCAGCCTTTTGCTTGCCAAAGCTCATTTGAGTTCAGATAGTAGACTTATATGAAGTGCCACTTTTACGGAAAATACTGTCAGAGAATGTCTATAAAAAATCTAGCGTGAAACTAGAATACGAAAAAAAAATTTAAATTTTCATCTGGTTAAAAACATAAAAATTTTCAGTGGTACTCGTGAGTAGCGGAGATGACATATAAAAAGTTGCTGTTTGTGTGTCTGGGTGAGTGTTGTCGCCAAAGCGAGTGGCAGTTCATCTTGATTCTCCGACTCCCTGTACTGCAGGCAACTCGTGTAGCTCTCCCATGGCCGAAACCATTATGCAGAACCTAATGACCAAGACCAGTTTGTACTGGGAAATTGATAGTGCGGGTCTACGGACTTGGAATATTGGTCGCAGGCCACATAAACGCTGTCGTCAGATTCTTCAGGAGCACGGACTCCGCACCGATCACTTTTGTCGTCTAGTGGGTAGTCAAAAGATGTTGGTTGTGTATTCCTGCTGCTAATTAAGTCCTATTCGCAGTTCACTGTTCAGGACTTTCGGTACTTTGACGTCATCATCGCTATGGACATGCATTGTTACAAGGAGCTTCTGCTCTGGGCCGGGCTTAATCGCAACGGACGGCACTGTGAGGTGCAGATGCTAGGCTGGTACGGCGGCAACGGCCAAGGTGCACTCATTCACGAGCTGTCGCCGGTAATATGAACCCAAGAGTGCTTGTACAAATATACTTCTATCCCTCCTGCAGACGAACAAGCTGAAAATCTTTCGCGATGCCTTTTATCAGATTAAAGATTGCTGCAAGCAGTTCATTTTGAATCAGCAGGTGCACATTGTCCAGTACGATCTGCCCAGCACGGAAGAAGATGGGCAGCCTCCGCAAGACCTACGGCAGCTGGAGCTAGAGGATAAGCTCCAAAAGTCAGAGTCGCCTGCTAATGAGTATACCAAGACAGAGCGCAAACAAATATCCGCCAAGAAGCTCAAGAAGTCCAAAAAACTATGCAAGAAATGCGGCGATAATTTCGTGTCGAAGCTTTGACGCTTGTCTTGGCCTTGGCTGCTATAATATTTTATAGATTTTGTGTCCATTGTGAGGTGTCTTGTTGGACAATAAAAGCATAGAGGCAGTTAATACGACATGAATATTGTCTTTGACTGGACTATAGAATCAATTCTTAATTGGTTTAGGGTGCACACGTAGCGCTATAAAAGCATGTCAGACCATTGCCTAGTGCTGGATTTTCGCACGAATAGCCGACTATGGAGGACAGGTTTCTACAGGCCTCAACACTTCCCATATCTGGGCCCAGATTCGAAGCACAGGCCAGCAGCAATGGCTCCGTCTTGGATCATGTGAGTGTTGCTGAACATGTTAGGAAATTATGCTTCGTTTGCTCGCTTATGCTATATTTCTGTTGCAACTGTAGGTTACACCAGACATGGCTCATCTGGTCAACCCCTACTGGAGCCGCTTTCCGCCCATGGACAGCACGATGAGCCAAATACTCGGTCTCTTTACACTGGCCATCATGGTGGTGTCATGCTGTGGAAATGGCGTGGTTGTGTATATATTCGGGGGCACCAAGTCTCTTCGCACGCCGGCCAATCTGCTGGTTCTCAATTTGGCATTCTCGGACTTTTGCATGATGGCTTCGCAGTCGCCCGTCATGATCATCAACTTCTACTATGAGACCTGGGTGCTGGGGCCGCTGTGGTGCGACATCTATGCGGTTTGTGGTTCCATGTTCGGCTGTGTTTCCATCTGGTCTATGTGCATGATTGCTTTCGATCGCTACAATGTTATTGTGAAAGGTATAAACGGAACGCCCATGACCATTAAGCTCGCCGTGATTAAAATTCTATTCATATGGCTTATGGCTACGTTTTGGACAATTATGCCTCTGGTGGGCTGGAGCAGCTATGTGCCGGAGGGCAATCTAACCGCCTGCAGCATTGACTACATGACACGGCAGTGGAATCCCCGCTCCTACTTGATCGTCTATTCACTCTTCGTTTACTACACGCCCCTCTTCCTCATTTGTTATTCCTACTGGTTCATCATAGCAGCCGTGGCGGCTCACGAAAAAGCAATGCGCGAGCAGGCTAAGAAGATGAACGTCAAGTCACTGCGCTCCTCCGAAGACACCGACAAAAGTGCGGAGGGTAAGCTGGCTAAGGTGGCACTAACCACCATTTCGCTGTGGTTTATGGCCTGGACGCCCTATCTTGTCATTTGCTACTTCGGACTATTCAAGATCGATGGCCTCACACCGCTGACGACTATTTGGGGAGCAACCTTTGCTAAAACAAGCGCAGTCTACAATCCTATTGTTTATGGCATAAGGTTCGTTGGCTAAGTTAGTCCACCAGTAATGCAACTACTTATTAATGTTTATGTTTGCCTTGCGCCCTTAGCCATCCCAAGTATCGCATTGTCCTCAAGGAGAAGGTAAATGTCTCAACTGCCAACACAATTCACTTACTAATCTTCCCATCTTAACAGTGCCCCATTTGCGTGTGCGGCTCCACGGATGAACCAAAGGCCGATGCTCCCGCTGCGGACACGGACACAACCTCGGAAGCAGAATCGAAGGCTTAAATACTTTGTGAATCTCTATTTATTAGCAATTGCCTGCAAAAGGCTTAAAAATACATTTTTAAAAAAAATCGTACGGCTTACAAAGCAGTTCAACTATCAAGAAACGATACAAAACTGTTTAAAAAAATGTTAAGAAAAAGGAAACAGTTCGTAATAAAGCATAATTAGCTCTACAGTTCAAACCAACTATGTTAATGAATCATATCAGCCTGAGCAGAGCCCACATGGAGCGACTGGACAGGCACACCCATCCCCTCGCCATTAACCCGCTTGACAACAGCACCTCCATCCGCCGTCTAAGAAGATACTACCGTTTGACCTTCCCCATCGCACAAACTAAACTTCCTCACCCCTATCAACCCATCTCCCTACTAAGTCACACATAATACAAAACCCTAATGGCAATGTTCTTCCATTTTAAATTGCTGATTGTTCATTAGGACAGATTACAAATACAAAACAAGCATCAAGAATCAAACAAACTCACTCCACTATCCAGAGTTAAGCTATATCTTTTTTAAATTAATCTTTTCATGCTTACTTAAGTTCTATACACGTATGACAAAAATAAGTAGTGCACTAAAATAGTGATTTACAAGAGAAATATCTTGCCAAGTCTATTCACAAGCTGTGTCTAGTATATCAGTGTGACTGCACCATTCCGGGTTTTATCCCAGTTATTCTATAATGCGCCGACTATCTTATAATAAATTATTTTTACAACGCGTAGTTACATTTTAGCTATAAATGTAGGAACTAAAACGATCTGTCGCATGTAACGGTAAACCTATTTAAGCCTTTTGTCATACAAAAGTCGAGAGCAAGTATGTCTCAACACTATATCATAAAGCTGTCATACAAAAGGGTATACGTATAAAACCTTTTTCCTAAACATGTTGAAGTATGTACCTAATGGTACTTAGTAGTACATACATTCAGTATTATGGCGCACTATTTCGCCTTATAATGGAACTGAGTTGGATTTTTACAAGTTTTTCTATTGATCATATGCATAAATTAATCTTAATTTTATTTTTTTGTCCCCCCTTTAGAAATATGACTAGGTCCGTTTTCGCATCATCAAAACAAGATAGAACGCTACAGTCCAGCAAGTCCGACAGTAAAATAGCCTGTACTCTCCACAAAAAAGAAAAATAAACAAGATAGAACGCTACAGTCGAGCAAGCCCGACAGTAAAATAGCCTGTACTCTCCACAAAAAAAGAAAAATTAAAAAAAAAAAATTAAAAAAAAAATTAAATTATTAAAAAAATTAATGAATTAATTAATTAAATTAAATTAGAATATATGTTTATGTTTAGTTTTAACAGCATACATTTACATCACGTACCTATGCGTGTTTATATGCGTGTATGTATGCAGCACAAAGTTGAACCAAAGCAGCAACAACAACAACAGCTGCGGGCAGCGCTGCCGACAGAGGCAGCGCATGAGCAGCGATTTTACTTATGGCTATAACTTTCTTCAGAATTGACCTATCATGATGAAATTTGGCACACGGACACATTAGTACTAACTGGATGTACCTACCAAAATTGATTTCCAAATTCCGAGAATTACGGAAGTTATAAGAAAAAACACGAATTGCGGGGGAGTGGGGGGGTGCATCGAAAAAAAACTCAAACTCGTACTTTCTCGGTCTTAGGAGAATATGGAAACCAAGTTTGGTTATTCTAGCTCTTATACTTTCTGAGATCCTTGCGTTCATACGGACAGACGGACAGACAGACGGACAGACGGACAGACGGACGGACGGACAAGGCTATATCGACTCGGCTTCTCATCCTGATCAAGAATATATATACTTTGTGGGGTCTGCCACGCCTCCTTCTGTGTGTTACATACATGCGCACAAAACTAGTATAGCCTTTCACCCTTTGGGTACAGGCTATAAAAAAATAAAAAATTAAAAAAAAAATTAAATTATTAAATAAAATGAATGAATTAATTAATTAAAATAATTAATTAAATTAAATTAGAATACATGTTTATGTTCAGTTTTAACAGCATACATTTACATCACGTACCTATGCGTGCTTATATGCGTGTATGTATGCAGCACAAAGTTGAACAAAAGCAGCAACAACAACAACAGCTGCGGGCAGCGCTGCCGACAGAGCTGCAGGCAGCGCATGAGCAGCGATTTTACTTATGGCTATAACTTTCTTCAGAATTGACCTATCATGATGAAATTTGGCATACGGACACATTAGTACTAACTGGATGTACCTACCAAAATTGATTTCCAAATTCCGAGAATTACGGAAGTTATAAGAAAAAACACGAATTGCGGGAGAGTGGGGGGGGGTGCATCGAAAAAAAACTCAAACTCGTACTTTCTCGGTCTTAGGAGAATATGGAAACCAAGTTTGGTTATTCTAGCTCTTATACTTTCTGAGATCCTTGCGTTCATACGGACAGACGGACAGACGGACGGACGGACAAGGTTATATCGACTCGGCTTCTCATCCTGATCAAGAATATATATACTTTGTGGGGTCTGCCACGTCTCCTTCTGTGTGTTACATACATGCGCACAAAACTAGTATAGCCTTTCACCCATTGGGTACAGGCTATAAAAAGATTTCAGCATTTTCATTACATTTCATTATATGGACGAATGGTGCTAAAAAAACATAAATGAAACGTTCTACTGATAATAAGACTTTTGATATTCAAATGATTATATATACAATTTAGTAGCATCGGGAAGTCGATTCTAAATACGAATAGAAGCTGTTACTCTGTTTAAAAATACGTAATTTTTATTCAATGAAAACATACCATCTTCTATGACGGACTGATTATATACAAGCTAGAATTTGACTTAAAGCCAACCGATAGAGCAATATCATCAATACATCACATTTATTTCTTTATTTTTTTAAGTCGTATATTTTGTTCTTAGCTATATAAGCAGGTAGGTGCTAAGCATCGGATATGCCAATTCCAACCAATTTTTAACTTCCTCTTTAAATTAAGTAGTTTTCTATGAATATCAACATTTATTTAGACATAAGGCGAAACCATACTACGCAACCAATTCAAAAATAAATGCAATTCCACTTTTGTGTACTCCGGTGCCATCACCAGAAGAGTGTGGGGCGGGATGCGCCCGATTTGCCGGCATATGCAGGCCACAGATTGCCGGCTAGATCGCCAAGCGATGCCATGGCCATACCAAGCAATTCATTAACGCATACGTGGTACTCGGTAGTCTTGAGCGTTTTCCGCAGCTCTTCATCGCAGGATCTGAGACCTGTCTCGAAGCTCTCTAGCACAACCTGGCCTTCAGGAAGACCAGTTGGTGGCAGTTTTTCGGAAATCGCATTCTGTACGTTCAACCTTGCCGCCTGTCCGTACTGTAGCTGTTTCTCAATGTCTACGCTCGTGCCATTGGTAGGTGCTTGTGCGTTAGCCGCAATGCCCTGTAATTAAATACAAATACAATTTCGGCTTATTTGAAGCCCACTAGTTAGCCCTTACCAGATAGGCTATGGTGCAGATGGCGCACAGACTTGCTAGCAACATTTTCTGTTCACAGTTGTGAAGTAACTGGCGACATCGTGTTGCTCGAACAGCAAGCCCTCCTATGGACATTGCTATACCCTAAAAATGGATGATTCGGGTATGTTCGCTACGACTGATACTAAGCACTTTTCCTTTGGAATATACTTGTATGATAGATTGCATTTATTGTTAAGATATATGATAGATGTCAATTTTTCAATGCACTCTAAGGGGAAAAATAAATATACAGCTACATAATCAATTAAAATCTATTAATGATAACATTTCTGTAAGGTGTTGGGTATTCCAAAGTCGAAGTGTTGAACTGCATCCTCAATTCTCATTTGCTTTTTATACAAGCGCGCACCTAGCTATCTCTATGACCTCTTATCTTTATTAATAGTTACTTAAGAATGTGCTTTGTAACTCGGCGACGTTGCTAATAGCCTCAACCCAATTTAGTTTATGCTATTTGCATATAGTGTTAACTCCATAAGCACATAATATTTGTACGTCCAACCCCGCGCGCGCTCTTTCTAGCTGACATTTGGTAAACAGATCTCGCTTATCTGCGCCTAGCGGAAGTCGCAGTAGCAGTTTCCACACTTTTATTGCTCGACTAGGCGGTTATATTAACAGTTAAGGTGCGAACATTGTTTTTCCATGGCATAAGCAGCTTCCCAGCTCCAACGGATGTGACTCACTTGAAGGGAATTTGCAGAACTTCATAATCATAAGTCATGTATGGCTTGGAAATGGCTTTGTTGGAAATGCGAGATTTTTCAAAAACCAAATAAATGACCAGCCGTCACTTTGTGCCATTTGCCACACGACGTACAACAACGGACAACACACTAAACAACAAAATGGCCCCCAAATTACTTTATTTCAAATCACAAGCCGCAAAATTTTTTGACCGTTTTTGGAAGTAACTTTGCATAAAACGCCGCAACCCCAAACAAATTTACATACATGTGCATTTGAAGAGTGTCCGTGTGTGGTGGCACAACATACACAGACAAACACACGCACACACACATAGACTGCGGCCTGTGCTTTTTGTTTTCCTAACCAATTTTTGCATACATAGCTTACTCTGCGGCTATGTTTTATTTCTGCTCTGTATTATGTGTGTATATTTTGTTTTTACGCTGGATTTGTTTGCCACAACTTTTGCATTAGTATTACACAGAATAGCCCCGATAGATGGGGCGTGAGGATGGAGGGAAATGTGGCCTACAAGGGCATGGCCAAGAAACCCGGCACTAAACTTTTCAAAGTTCAAACCACGCCACAGCCACACATTTTTTGTTGTCGTTGTTGTTGTTGTTGTAATGACAAAAGCACAAAGTAAAACGACGAAAGGAAGCATAAAAAGCAAAGCGCAAACGCAAGTTTCAATCTTGGGGCAAATATTTCAATTAAGTGACAAAACTTCACACTCGTCTGATCCTTGTAATTCGGCTTGTCAATGTCTTGTACGTGTATTTGCAGCAGCAGAAGCACACACCCCCCCCCCCCTCTACCCGCTTACACCCATTATTATTGTCAATGTTGCCGCCGGCTGTTGAAAATTTACATTTAATTACATATTTGAATTTGTGTCTCAGTTGTAAAGCACAAAGTTTTGCCCAACGGGGCGTATGGGTAATATTTTCGCCACATAACAGCATTCCTAATGGTCATTTGAGCCATTCCTCATATCGTTGTGCCCATGCATAAGCCATGAAACCACCTTTATTTCCAATTTACTTACGGCTTACTTCGGCAGATAATAATAATATATATACTTGTATAATAATAAAGGTAGATAGGTTTAATGAAGAACAACATTTACAATAAATGAAATATAAATAGGACATAATATGTACGTGTAGATTAAAGATCCATATTATTTTGTGTTTCCAAGTCTAACGGAAGATTTCCCCCTTCATACAGCTACATCAACAAACCTTAACCTTTTCCATAAAAATAATTTACAATAATCAATCTGTCAGTTAAGCATTATAAATAACTCAACTCTCAACTTAAGATGGAAAGCTCAAAAAATGAAATATGCATGTATAGAATTCTCGTTGTTGACACATCAGAAAACGTGTTTATTTGTAATGTGTTTATTTTACGAACGGACGGGAATAGGAGACGACAGAGTCAATATAGCCATATCTATTTGTATGAGCTCAAGTATAAGTATAAGCACTAGACTCGCAAAACTTTCTATTCATATTCTTCCGAGTAAAGTAGATATACATTCTCAAGACTGGATAAAAAAATGTCTAAGTATCCACTCGCCTTGGGCAGAAATATGAATGCCCACAAGTTTAATGACTCTAGTTCTAATACTTTTCGAGATACTGATCACGAATCAAAAATAATCCTTCAATCAAATATATTTTATTGATATTCATTTTATGTACATATTCCTCCATTTTATAGAGAGATCCCAAGGCTTAGATTATAAACCTTTTCTCAGAGTACCTTCGATGAAATCATAAGTTGTTATTTATTGGACAAAGAATCTATGTTGGTGTATTATTGTTACAAAAAGTTTCTCATTTGCGACCTAAGCCGCTGCACTGCTAGGAGCCACAGTGCTTGAAGCAGCAGCAGCAGCCTGGCGCGCTTGCCACTCATCGTCGATGAGCTTCAGCTGGTCCTTGGCAGCAGTCAATAGAGGCTTGACACAGCGTATCTGCAGCCAAGGCAGTGAGCCTGGTGTCTGGCAGCCTGCGAAACCTTCCTGTGTATCGGCCACCACATCCTGGACGCGCTCCGTCAGATCGGTAGGAAAACCGACTTGGGTGAGCAAACGCTCAGCCTCCCTTTGCAACACAATCGATTGGAAAAACACAGGTATGGATAGGCCAGCAAATGGTGGAGCAGTAGCTACGCCACCACTAACGCCAACTCCAGATCCTCCGATAGTTCCGCCGATAGCGCCTCCGAAAATACCAGAAAGGTAGGGATTAAATGCAACCGCATAAGGATTTGAGGCTGCAAAGGGATTGACAGGACCGTAACCTCCAGCCACCGGCTGGGCCTGTACAAAAACGTAAACACATTAAGAGGGGGTTACGACAGCGACCCACACCCGAGACCCACCTGAGCGCTAACGCTGGCGACACCGAGAGCAAACAAAATAATTGCACACTTCATCGTTTTTATACTTGATCTATTGAATTTCGTTTTCTTCTGAGTGGACCTCAGGTGCTGTTCATTCGAATATACTAATGCCTGCTCTGATATTGCCACGCATTTTATACACACAAAGGCGTCGAATATTGTTATCTGCGTGACGCTGCTGCAGTGATTCTTTCAGGTAATAATGACACACACACTCGGCTGATTTACATGATTTTTGCTTGTTTAGCGCAAACGTATTGTTGACGTCGCTAAATCAAAAACTGATGCTATTTAAGCAGAGATAAAGTCGCGAAGATTACAATAGTGCTGAGTTAGAACAGTAAACCCTGTTGATGACATCACCAACTAGGACATTTGAAAACATACAAGTAGTAGTCTAACAAATGTTGCAAAAGTGGCAAAATTTAGCAAAATTTCAAAGAATAAAGATTGCTAAAAACAATTAATGATAATTTTTTATACCCATTAACATGTTATTATTAGAACATTTTAAAAATCATAGTAGAATAGTTTGGTACTAATATAACACACAGAAGCAGACTTGGCTGGTCCAAAAAAGTAGTAGTGCAAGAGTCAATATAGCCATATCTGTCTGTATGAACACTCGTATCTCGGAAAGTATTAGCACGAGACAATATATTCATGTTGTTTCTTGTGAAGAAGATAGTTTCCTTTTATAGTAAATTGGGAAACAAGTTGCCAACCAAAGTAACTCCCTCACTTTCCTGTGGGTGCATAGAACACATATTTTTGCAAGACAGCGCAAAAAACAAAAATTGATTAATGCATAAAACGAGGTCAAATATTTTTCCAATAAAACAAAAAGCGACTGAAACAACAACAACAACAGTAAGCGTTGACGCACTGAATAGAGAAACAAGAGTCCACAAAGCGAGCAAATAAAATGAAAGAATTCAAATATTTTCGCCGAAATGCGTCAAGTTTCTGCAACGACGCGCTTTGGTTCAAGCAAGTATAAGCAGCCCCGAGGGCGCAAATCAACTGTGCAACTCCCTAAAGCAAAAGCCTAAGCCACAAAGCGGCTGGCCAAGGCCTCGGAGTGCCCATGACGTGAACACAAAAATATTTGCGGGGCGTCTGGCGCACTGGCAATGGCTGTTTCTATAGTGTTCGAGATAGAAATGGTGGTGGACGTGATGGTGTTGGTGTTGGCCATGGGAGTGGCACGCTTCTTGAATTTTATAATAGAATGAAATTTAATAAAGTGAAGCTATGCCGAACACTTGCTCCGACCCACATCCTATGACCTCGGCTCCCTCACTGAATGGAAAGCACAGCGATCCAAGCCACTTGACGTCTGCTCCCGCTCTTGGCCATATCAAAGCATGCCATGGCATAGGTCAAGAACGCGCCTACTATCAACTGTAGAGTTCCAGGGGGAATTCATGCTGGAACAAACTAGGCAAAACAAGAATGTGATGCTGGAATCATGTGTGAACGACTCTTTAAACCTTCCAATTCAAACATATTTACGCATACTATTTTCCATTTTAATTACAATTAATTAAATAAAATTGATCAAATAAATGATACACAAGTACAGTTAAAACTCTCTTGGCGGGTAGCTCTTTTAACCGTAACTCCGCTAAGGCGGACACTTTTTCTACAACATTCGTTTTGGTATACTTTTAAGAGCAATTTTTCTTCTCTTGGACGGAGATTCTCAATCTGATAAAAAAATTAAATAAGGCTAAGGGGACACTCGCCTTGGGCGGACAAAAGTTGTACGAATGTCAACAAGTTTGGGGATTCTAGCTCTAATACTTTCCGAGATACTGATCATATAAGTTATATAAGTACTTTGTGATATCCAAATGTTGTTTGGAAAAGTTTTTGTTTTCAAATTTAAAAAATAATAATAAATCAATCGATGATATTTTATTGATAGCAATTCATTCTATGTACCCATTTCCACCCCAGGGTTTAGATTATAAACATTTTCAAAGAGTACCTTTGATGAAATCATAAGTTGTTATTTATTGAACAAAGAATCTATGTTGGTGTATTATTGTTACAAAAAGATTCGCATTTGGACCTAAGTCGCTGCACGGTTAGGGGCCATAGTGCTAGAGGCAGCAGCAGCAGCCTGGCGCGCTTGCCACTCATCGTCGATGAGCTTCAGCTGGTCCTTGGCAGCAGTCAATAGAGGCTTGACACAGCGTATTTGCAGCCACGGCAGTGTGGCTGTTGCCTGGCAACCTGCGAAGCCTTTCTGTGCATCAGCCCCCACATCCTGGATGCGATTCGCCAGATCGGCGGGAAAATCAGCTTGGGACAGCAAACGCTCAGCCTCTTTTATAAGCACTTTCGCTTGGAAAAACACAGCTATAGGAAAGCCAGCAAGTGGTGGAGCAGTAACTACGCCACCTCCAGAGCCTCCGATAGTTCCTCCGATAGCGCCAGAAAGGTAGGGATTAAATGCATTCGCATAAGGGTTTGAGGCTGCAAACGAATTGACAGGACCGTAACTTCCAGCCGCCGGTTGAGCCTGTACAAAAATGTAAGCACATAAAAAAGGGGGCTACTACAGCAACCCACAACCGAGACCCACCATAGCGTTAACGCTGGCGACACCGAGAGCAAACAAAACAATTGCACACTTCATCGTTTTTATACTTAATCTATTGAATTTCGTTTTCTTCTGAGTGGAACTCAGATGCTGTTCTTTCGAAAATACTGATGCCTGCTCTGGTATTGCCGTGCATTTTATACACACAAAGGCGTCGATTAATGTTATTTGCGTGACGCGGGTGCAGTGATTCTTTCATACACACTCGGCTGATTTACATGATTTTTAGCGTATTGTTGACGTCGCTAAATTAAAAACTGACGCTATGTAAGCAGGAAAATAGTCGCTAAGATTACAATAGTGCTGAGTTAAAACAGTAATCCCTGTTGATGACATTATCAACTACTTCTTAATTTTTTACATTTCGCGCGTAACTTAACAGCTGTTAGGTACAGCACTATTTTAACATTTCCTTCAATAAGGGATGAGCATGCGCGCGCATGTTGGTATTTTTTGTGGTATTTTTAACAGCACTGGTTTTTTATGAGCTAGTTCCCTGATGTGTGCTTCCATAAGAACTGCTATGACATCGTAATCCATGTCGACAGGTGAACAACATTTTGGTAGCGAAACAATTAATTCCAAGTGTATACCCTAACAAATAATCGTAAGTTTTAATGTAATATACAAATTTTGTGCAACTATTCTGAACCGAAAGAACGGATTTTGGTTCAAGAGTTCACCCGAACGAGCGATTGATTCAGTCATTTGCAATTGAACTAGTCAGTTTGTACACAGCCGAGATATCGATTTACTTTGAAGAGGAAAAGCGACCCCCGATTTCGACCCCCGCAATTTCCAGCGCCGTGGGAGAAAATTGGCATAGTAGTAGTAACGATTAGTCCTTCAAGAATTACGCTCCAGTCGGGTAACATCAAGGTTCAGGAAAAATCAAATCACTGCACGAAAAGCCAAACGAGGAACTCGTAACGCAAAACGGGACTTAGAGCGAGTGAAAGTGCAAATCGTTGAAAAAATTCCCTAACCACAGCCTCCTCCAGCCATAGCCAGCTCAGCCCCAAAGCGACCACCAGCACCGCCAATACCAGCACCCACACCAACGCAAGTGAAAAGTGCACGCCGCGTAAGTTGTCCAAACGTTATAAATAGAAAACAACATAGATATACAATAGGAGGGACTAGCAAGCCAATCAAAATTGAATCATAATTTGCAATAAACAAACAAGTCAAATAAAAATATATATACAATAAAAAAACAGGCAAGTCAACTAACTCAACCAACCCGTTCACAGCAACCGCGTCGACTTCGACAAAACAAAACTATCAGCAGCAGGTAAAGCAGCTAAAGCAGCAAAAGCAGCACCATGGCTTTCGCCGGACTGAAGAAACAAATCAACAAAGCCAATCAGTATATGACAGAGAAGATGGGCGGTGCAGAGGGCACCAAACTGGACATGGACTTTATGGAGATGGAACGCAAGACGGATGTGACTGTGGAGCTTGTGGAAGAGCTGCAGTTAAAAACTAAAGAGTTCCTGCAGCCAAATCCAACGGCGCGCGCCAAGATGGCCGCCGTCAAGGGCATCTCGAAGTTGTCGGGCCAAGCCAAATCGAATACGTATCCACAGCCCGAGGGCCTGTTGGCCGAGTGCATGCTGATGTACGGGAAGAAGCTCGGCGAGGACAACAGCGTGTTCGCGCAGGCGCTCGTCGAATTCGGCGAGGCTTTGAAGCAGATGGCCGACGTCAAGTATTCGCTGGACGACAACATCAAGCAGAACTTCCTGGAGCCACTGCATCATATGCAGATGAAAGACCTCAAAGAGGTTATGCACCATCGAAAAAAATTGCAGGGGCGGCGGCTCGACTTCGATTGCAAGCGTCGCCGGCAGGCAAAAGATGATGAAATTCGTGGTGCCGAGGATAAGTTTGCCGAATCATTACAATTGGCACAGGTGGGCATGTTCAATCTGTTAGAAAACGACACGGAGCATGTCTCGCAGCTCGTTACCTTTGCTGAGGCACTTTACGATTTTCACTCTCAATGCGCTGATGTTTTGCGTGGCCTGCAGGAGACGCTGCAGGAGAAGCGGGCCGAGGCAGAGAGCCGACCACGCAACGAGTTTGTGCCCAAGACGCTGCTCGATCTGAACTTGGACGGCGGTGGCGGCGGCCTCAACGAGGACGGTACGCCGTCGCACATTAGCTCGAGCGCCTCGCCGTTGCCCTCGCCGATGCGCTCACCCGCCAAGTCAATGGCCGTAACGCCACAGCGTCAGCAGCAGCCATGCTGCCAGGCACTCTATGATTTCGAGCCCGAAAATCCGGGCGAGTTAGGCTTTAAGGAGAACGACATCATTACTCTTCTAAATCGTGTTGATGACAACTGGTATGAGGGTTCTGTTAATGGCCGCACCGGCTACTTCCCGCAGTCTTATGTTCAGGTTCAGGTGCCGCTGCCTAATGGCAACTAGGTGGTTATGGTCGAGGCATGAGCAAAACAATAATGTTGGTTTCGTCGCAGTTGGAGCTGAAGCTGGTAGTTGGTTAGATACAAATTCGGATACAAATACACAGATACGTTTACAGCTTAGTTAGAAGTGCACGTTCATGTGGCCATAAAAAGCAACAAAATTGAAAAAGAAAAAAGAAAGTTTACAAATTAATGTGAAATTACTACTAGTTGGAAAAACAATAATTAACAAATTAATTAAAATTAAATGGAAGTAATTATGTATAACTAACTAAATTTACACTTTTAACATCGTTATGAACAGCAAAGCAACATTTCCGTGCGTTTTCAATTTAAAAATGTCAATAATTGTTAAAATTCAATTCAAATTTTTAATTCGAAACCAAAGCCGAAACCCAACAAAATTCAAATATGAAATCAATTACAAGAAGTTAGCAAACACAAAACAAAAAATGAACCTAATATTAATTACATACTCAATTACAATTACATGCAGATCTTAAGTCCCTGCCTTAGCAACAGAGCCTAGAAAGGAGAAGTCCTCTTCTATTGCCAGAGCTAGCAGCTGATCAGCATCGAATTTTAAACGAAAAGTTTTAAGGCTCAGCATCAGCTATTCATACGCGTACATACGTTCGTTTATTCTTCCGACTTCCTTAAGTTGTTATTCGTATTTGTAATTTATCATTGTGCTCTCTAAACAAACAGCTCTATGTAAACCTTATCCTAAAGCGACATGCATATACATATTTACATATAGCGTACTATATCCTACCTTTTTATGCAAAAACAATACCCCTAGACTCAGTGGCATAAATCCGTTCTCAATGTTCGTTGTAAAATGTAAAAATTGTATTCGCGTTGGCGCGCAGTTTTAACGCGTGCCATAACAAGTTACAAAATTGTATTTGTAACCTACTTTTTTGCTCCTTTTTATGTGTGTTGTTTTTGTTATTTATATACATAACTATTATATATATAAATGAAATAATATATATATAATTATATATTTATTAAGCATATTATCTACATGTATATTTATTATTATTATGTATGTATTTATTATAAATATATTAAAAAAAAAAAATGAAAAACAAAATAAATGCAAAACTAGCAGCAAAGTAATGAAATGTAACAGAATCCTCCTAAAATCCTAAACTACTTAGTAATATTAAAATGATGATAATAATTATAATCATAAGCTAACAAAAAACACAAAACCAGTCAGTCAGTCAGTCGAAAAGAAGCATAGCAAGACAAAAATTACATAAGTATAGAAACGTTTATTAGCAACAGCGCAGAAGAAATGAAAGTCAGTCTCATGTTGGCATATAACAGAATGCCATAAAACAATAATGGAATATACAGATAAGAGCATACATATACGTGCAGGAGGAAATAAATATATATATATACGGTACAGTACAGTAATATATTTATATATATACAAAGAAATAACAAAGATATTAGACCCATGCAATTTGTGTTAATATTAAATGCATAATATTAAAAGCTATAAATTGAAAATAAGCAAAGTGTATTTCCAAAGGGGCCTAAAACGAAAGCATTGGTACGCAATCTAACCGAGTAGTACGTACTTAGATTATACCTTCGCACCTTCGTTGGTGCGGAGGCGAAACTCGGGTTCCACGATTGCAATCGATGATGGCAAATGAAACAATAATAAATCTAATCATGCATTTGTGTGGCAGAGAGAATTCAATACTTATTATACACATACAAAAGCAAAGAAATTAAACTATATACAATAATAATTAATAATAATAATGCAATACACACTTAAATTATATAAACTAACATAACGCTAAACTGAACATTTAATTTGTGCAACAACCACAATTAATAAAATTTAATTTTTAATGTGTCTTTCGTTCAAAGTCATCAAAGCAAACCAAATGGTTCTTTTTTACTTGCATATCGACCTTGATTTCAAGGCCCGCTCCCCACTCCGCCGTGCAGCCAAGGTCAGATTGGTCTGTTGTGTAACATGGATGCTGCTACCGCCCAGGCAGCTGTGGCGCAACCAATAAAGACGAGACATTGAAACTTTCGATTTTCCGCAGTCACAGTAACCCGCCCCCAGCCTGTCCCCTCTTTTGGCCTGACATTGAAACATAGCTTTAGTTGAGGTCACACTCACTGGGGTAGTAAACTTACTAACCACCCCACTACTGTGGGAATTATTGGATTGCTGCTTTGAATGGTAAGTTGGCTCCCGCAACCCTAATGATTTCGTAAGTAGTGTTTAATTTTGTCAGGGTTATAGGCCTAGTAAAATATTCTAACTGAAGCCCCTGCGAAGGTGCTTGTCAGGCAATCGGCAACAAAGTATATGATATTTTTGGTACAATATCATTTGAAGGGCACGGCAAGTGAGAACATCTCTAGATACAATTAATATCATAAATATTTCAAATATTATATTTTGTTGACAAGTAAAATTTAATTATAATTAAGCTTTGACTAATATTCTTTAAAGCACAATCCACAATATTTTAACCTAACCCATTCAGGTTCGTACTGATAGATAAAAGACATAAGCAAAATATCAGCTTTATTGATTATCTTTATTAATTGCTCAGGAGCATTTCTAAACACTCCATACAGAGTTCATTGAAATTTTCTATTATTGTTTTGGAACCGAAAACCTTAACGACTGATCGTATCGAACGCACGTCCCTGCCGGATGCGACAGATGGCAGAGTTTTTAGCTGCATTATTTACTATAATCAAGGCAAGTTTCCACCTATTGTGTGTGATACAAATTACCTCAACATATTTAAATATGAATATGTGTGTTATATTTATAGGAGATTTATTAGAAAGGACATGATTTTTTATTGCAAAAGCATTAATACATTTTCGTAATGTATGTGTTGGGCGCCGCTACTTATTGGGAAATTACGTAATGCTCGTAATGTCCCAATACTTTTGGTGGTTTGTACAGAGCTTCGTGTCCCAAAGTCAGGCACACAGGATCGTTTTTGAAAACACCTTGTGCCTGCAGGACTGCATGAGGGGCACAACGCCAAGGATCCTCGGTATCTATCTGCCACTTGTAGAGCTGTTGCCGCAGTTGCTTGAGAGTACCACTGTACTGAGATTTGCTCACGAGATTGAAGCGTTCCAGGGCATCAGCCTTTATATCATATAACTCCCATTCGGGCCGTTTGTAATACTGTAGCAGCGTTTTATACCAAGGCAGGGGTTGCTTGTTGATTGTGGCATTGAGGATCTGCTGGAATGTGGGCGAGGTGTAGAAATCTTGATCGATGGGGAAGTAGCTCCAATAGTTCAGATTGTGTATCAGCTTGTAGCAGCGATTCCGTACCATCCGCATTGGATAGGCCATAGTCACTTCGTGATAGTTTTGGCTGCCAAACACAGTATCGCGATCGTTCGGCGTCGGCTCTTTTTCCAGCACCGGAAGCAAGGATTTGCCGGTCAAACGTGTGTCGTTCTGTATCCGAATGCGAAAAACATCCAGGATGGTCGGGTAAATATCCAGCAGGCTGGCCATAGCCCCTGTTGTGTCATGACGTCGGGTATTTGGCTGTGGCGAGCTAATGATCAACGGTTCTCTAATGCCGGGCTCATATAAATTGGTCCGTCCACTGGGGAAAGGAGTACCATTATCTGATGTATAGATGACCAGAGTCTCATCGGAAAAGCCCGACTTTTGTAGCTCGTTTAAAACGAGACCCACGCCCTGATCCAGTCTTGAGGTGGTCATATACTGTGCGGCCAGCTCCTGGCGTACCACGTCCGTATCCGGCAGATAGGGGGGCACTTCTAAATTCCGCCAGTCATAGTATATGGGCTTCCAATCCGGAATTGAGCCCATGCCCTCTTCGCCACTGCCCCAACGCTCACAAAACTCGCCGTACTGCGGCGTGATGTGCCCGCAACGATGGGGGTCATGAAAGGCTACCAGCAAAAAGAATGGTCTGCCCTCACGCTTAGCACGATCCAAAAATTCTTTAGTGTACTCCTTTATTTTGGTAATATTGCGGCCGATCTGGTTAATGGAGTGCTGCTCCTCCGTTTGTTCAAAGTCAAACTGAAAGTTGGCCGCCGCCCCCACATGCTTCTTGCCAATGATGCCGCTCAGAATGTGTCCGTTGCTCTGTTCCCGCAGCACATTCGGCAGAGAGTTGACCGCTGGTAGTACGTTGAAATTGTGCACCCCCTGGTGTAGACCGTACATGCCGCTCGAGTGACTCGCCTGGCCAGTCAGCAGCTGAGCACGGCTGGGGGAACAGCTGCTAACTGAGGTGAAGGCGTTGTTAAACAACAGTCCCCACTTAGCTAGAGCATCAAGATTGGGCGTTTGGCAGTATTTGTTCAAGTAGGCTCCCATCTCAAAGCCGGCATCGTCGGCTAACAAAACCACAACATTCTGAGTAGGAGAGGAAGTCGTTGTGGAGCTCCCGAATAACAAAACAGGAATTAGAAGTCCGAGACAAATTTCTTTCTCCATTTCAACAAATTAACGCAGCAAAAATGAAAGACCCACAGCAGAGTCGTTGCCGTACTGATGCTCTTGGATGCGATCCACTTACATTTTATGGAGCACAAGCTCAGTTATGCTCGCTCACTCATGCTCCGCGCACTCACAGAATTCCAGTTTTAAAGTGAAGCGGTCGCAACAAAACAAAAGCTCAGCGGGACTTTCTCTCTCGGTCAAAGTACGACCATATGTATGTACATACGTACCGCTTCCATTCCCTTTTTATTTCTTTCTTTTCAAATTTTCTTAGTTACAGTCCAGCCGCGTGATCTTCGATCGCTTGCCTACAGTTTAGTTATAAATATGTGCATGTACATCCGTACTATATGCATTGAAAGAAATGCAGACTCCTGTAATAAACAATGTACCCAAAGGGTTAAAGGGTATATTAGTTTTGTGCGAGTGTACATGTAACACACAGAAGGAGGCGTGGCAGACCCCACAAAGTATATATATTCTTGATCAAGATGACAAGCCGAGTCGACATAGCCATGTCCGCCCATCTGTCTGTCTGTATGAACGCAAGGATCTTAGAAGGTATAAGAGCTAGAATAACCAAACTTGGTATCCAGATTCTCCCACGCCCAAGAAAAAGCAAGTTTGTTCATTTTTTCCGATGCACCGCCCCACTTCCCCGCTATTCGTGATTTTCTATAACTCCCGTTATTCTTGGAATTTTCAACAAAAATTTGGTAGTCACATCCAGTGATTATATATCCGTATCCGAAGTTTTATTATAATAGGTTGATTAGAAAGAAAGTTATAGCCATATAACCAAGCCCAAGCTCTGTCCGCAGCTGTATTTGTTGCTGCTTTGGCATAATTATAGAATACACACATACATACATATGTACAAGTACACAAAAACGCAAAGACACGATTCTGATGTAAATGTATGTATGCATGTATGGAATATTTTTATAGCCTGTACCCAAAGGGTGAAAGGCTATACTAGTTTTGTGCGCATGTATGTAACACACAGAAGGAGGCGTGGCAGACCCCACAAAGTATATATATTCTTGATCAGGATGAGAAGCCGAGTGGATATAGCCTTGTCCGTCCGTCCGTCTGTCCGTCTGTCTGTCCGTATGAACGCAAGGATCTCAGAAAGTATAAGAGCTAGAATAACCAAACTTGGTATCCAGATTCTCCTAAGACCGAGAAAGTACGAGTTTGAGTTTTTTTCGATGCACCCCCCCACTCCCCCGCAATTCATGTTTTTTCTTATAACTTCCGTAATTCTCGGAATTTTGAAATCAATTTTGGTAGGTACATCCAGTTGGTACTAATGTGTCCGTGTGCCAAATTTCATCATGATAGGTCAATTCTGAAGAAAGTTATAGCCATAAGTAAAATCGCTGCTCATGCGCTGCCTGCAGCTCTGTCGGCAGCGCTGCCCGCAGCTGTTGTTGTTGTTGTTGCTGCTTTCGTTCAACTTTGTGCTGCATACATACACGCATAGGTACGTGATGTAAATGTATGCTGTTTAAACTGAACATAAACATGTATTCTAATTTAATTTAATTAATTAATTCATTCATTCATTTTTTTTTAATTTTCTCTTTTTTGTGGAGAGTACAGGCTATTTTACTGTCGGGCTTGCTCGACTGCAGCGTTCTATCTTGTTTATATTTAATTTAATTAATTAATTAAATTAAATGCGTGTGTGGTGGTGGTACAGGGTATTTAACAGTTGAGCCCGCTCGACTTTGACATTCCTTTCTTGTTTTTAATAATATAACATTGAAATTACAGAACCAATTACGAAACTACGTGTCTTTATACATTTTTCGAAAATATTTTGAAACGGCTCATTCTTAAAGCGATATTTTGAGTGTTTATGGTAAGTTGCTGTAATTTGAAGATTTTCACAATATTTCATCTTTGAAGGGTATTTATTTATTTATCATCAGTTCGGATGCAATTTGAATCTTTGGAGCATATTGTTATGCTGACATACATACTATATGTACATATTTGCACACCTACAGCAATCTTAGCCATTCCAAGCCTCCTCTGGGCAAACACAAATGTCTAAGATAATCCGAAATTTTTAGAAACTTGAAATTTATGTTTATTTAAACACTTAAATTAAAAATAGAGTTACAATTTTATTAGTACCTACAGGAAAATAGGATATAAAAAAGAGACCAAATGCGTACGAAACCTTTGAATCACAAGAGTTAAAAAACCAGACAAGCTATGTAGACTGGTCTTATTTATAAGCATCGCAAGTTTTCTAAAAACCATAGATATACTCGTATGTATGTACATACATACATATGTATATGTATGTATCTTGATTATTTTATATTGCTGCCATAGGCACGATCAGTGCGAAAATCATTATTAAATTACAAATATTTTTGTTTATATACTATATTATCTAAATTGGGTATTTACAAGAGCTGTGCCAAATGGGTTAACATAACATCTATCGTACGAGTAACGAAAAGTAAGGAAAAAGTATATTGTCGATTGGCAACAAAATTATAAATTTGGTTGTCCATTGATGACAACATAAGGGCAAGAAAGGGTGTACAGTTTCAAGATCCCACACATGTCCATATGTGCACACTTATGTACATATGTATGTACGCATGTATATAAATATGTACATATGTATGTATGTATAAAGCACATTGTATGTTTGTTATTTCACGCAAAAATGTGCCTGCTCTTGGAGCTGCCAGCAACGCTTTTATTATATAAAATGTCCGCAACGGCCCTCATGAATCACCAGACAGTGCTGCTGCTTTTTGGCTTTGACGTGGCCTAGTCGGCAACTGGCATAGGGTTAGCCATTGAAGTGCATACACGTACATACAACGAACGTACATATGTATGTGTGTATGTCTCTACTATAAAGCTCATCTTTTTTTAAACGATAAATTGGGGGAGGCACCGAAAACAGCTGAGTATGAGACTGAGGATGCCTGACTACGTCAAACAGCTGTTGTAATGCGCAGCATTGTTGCATCATCCATTTGACCGTTAAAGAGGTAGAGGAGAGCCAAAGAGTTTGACTCGCCGAGAGAGAAACAGCAAGAGCCAGACACACGCACTCTCCAGGTTAACCCTGCAAACAAGTTGGCCAATGTACGCTACCATCTCTTTGAAAAGAGGACATAGACAACCAACCGAAGCGTCAGTGAAATGTGCTTTTTATAAGCTCTTAGTACTTCATCTGGCGCCAAGCAACGTGCCACACCGCGTCACCACTTAGTCAGAGGGCTGCGTTATCTGCATACGTGTATTGATAAGCGGCTTATAAATATGTATGTTTGCCTATGGTCGATTTCCCTATACCTGCTCTTAATGTGGGTAACAAAGCAGTTGATTGACGTTTTGAAGAACCATAGGTCATACACAAGTCAACATTGCTCGCCTCTGTTGGCGATTGAAAAAGTACCTATGAACGATGATAGTGCAAATATTTTAAGTGGCGACACAGAAATGTTCACCACAAAACATTTGTTTCCCTCGTCCCCAAGAAATTAGCGATTATTGATTCACACATGTGATAACCTTTTATCCACATTTAATTTGATTTATAAACAACATATTCACTCTTACATTCACACGCACATATCGTCCATATCGTAATGCTGATCATATTAAAAAAGGTATGCCACGCTCCCTTCTGCCTGTTACATAAATTTCGACTTCTAGTTTCGACTTTTTACTCTTAAAGTGCAGGGTATAAAAATACGCATTTATTAAAATGTGTCCACATACTATGGACATACTTGTATAAATATGTGCATACATACATACATACATATACGATAATGCCAAACTAAGCACATTTTGGGGGCACGGCGGACAGCAGCTGGCAATTGAGAGCGCGTCGTATGCAGGTACAACAAACACGGTATGGCATTTAAAGCTGCCTCTCTTTTACGCTCAGTACGCACGTACATTATGAAATGGCTTGCGTAAGCCACGTACAAGGCAGAGAGAGAGCGCTATAGACTTACATGCTCTGTTCCTCCCACTCTTGATGGCATTTGATTGTTGTGCGCGTGTGGATTTTGGATTCAAACACACGCTTAATATTTTAACTACTTGAAGAATTATTTTGAATGCGACTTTCTTACAAAATTAAATATTTTGCGAAACTTAATACTATTCCTACACGTGAAATAATTCGTCACGAAGCCTATTGTGACGTCAGACGGACCTGCGCAATGCCGTACCTTCGAACTTATGTCTCATAAACAGCCGCAGCAAAACGGCGACAGGCAGCGCTCCGTGGAGAGGCAGGCAACACTGTTAGTGTTAGTAACAAAACTTCGGTCGTCGTGAACAGAACAGCTTAATTTCTTATCGCCAGAGCGTGAGATTGTGAGAGTATATACATACATACATATATGTGTGTACATAGAAAGCAACCAAAAGCTGTGCGAAATTTGTGAAATTTGTGTGATTAGCACTGAGTTGAAGGAAAATTTTGCCCAAAAGCGCTACAGTGTGCTACGATCTTAATGGCATCGATTGCTTGCGAACACCGCTATAAAGATTTTATATTCATATAATATTAAAATTCGTTTTATTGTTTGTGTGTGAAATAAAACCGACACAAAGTTAAAGTCGAAATAAGCTAAATACTTCGCCATTTAAAGTCTAAGAAAGCACATGCGAAAGACGCATTTAAATCAAAAAACAAGAGCAACAAACTGTGTAAATATCTAAAAAATCAGCCAAGATAGCAGATAGCAACAGCAGCTAAGTGTCAAGATATTAAAAAAAAAAAAAAACACAATTCTAAAGACTTGATAAGATATCGGCCAAGTGCCCGACTATTATGTTCGCCGTCTCTGTTGTCACTGAAGATACAACAAAGAGAGCGCGCGTCACTTACAACAACAACAATAACGTCATGCAACACTCGCATATCGTCGGTAGCAGTATCACCTGTATGTGTTTGCAACATTCGCAGCAGCAAGTTCCTATGCTTAACAATTTTATGTGTATGCGCATGCGTGGCTGGCATAATTATCTAACGGGCAACAAGCGCGGCTACACCACGAAGTCCAAGACAATTTTAAAGCGTTCCAAGCTATTGCTAAAGAAGCGTAACTTTAACATTTGTTGCAATATTCGCAATCGCCGTCTTATTCGCTTTTGAGGCAGCACATCGCATAGCAGCAAACAGCATAGAGGACAAGTGTGTGATAAAAGAATAACGGACGTCATCATCGAGTTGGCTGGCCACGGCAGCAACATGATGAACGGTAAGTCAACGAACCGTTTATGCTTATCAACATTTTAAAGATGTTGCTAAGCGTTTCTGGCCGATATCGCAGAGTCATTGACATTGGCAGCTCACTAACTTACTAAATACAAATTTATGTATGTACATACATATGTACATAGTATGGAAACAGATTTATATATAAACTACAAAATGTCTGTGCGGAGTACCTTAACATATCAAAGCTAAGAAGTCATTTTCGCTATAGGGAACAATATTTGAAATGTAAAAGGAATATAGTGCAAGAAGTTAAGAAGAAGGAGACCTATTGAATTTAAAGAAATGTTTAAACTTCTTGGGCTACTACCGTATGTTCTATCAGTCAAGCTTTGTAAACTTTCGGAATAGCTCATCATAATGATTCGGCAGTATTCGTGGTCGTTCCAAACGTAAAACATATATAATTCTGTTTGTTTGCCTAACTTTATTTCTGTCTTCCAACTAGTATACTATATAATATATAGTATATATTGTTATTTAAATACATATTGAAGAAAGCAAACGTTAGACGTATGTATGTATGCTTTAATTCCTTAACATAGCCAACTCATGGTGTTCTGCAAAAATCAAAACTATTTTGGCACATTCTCTCATTTTTGGTTTGTGCTCAGAGCCGAAATTGGGATTTTCAAATTGGTCTTGAGCTTTTTCCACGAATTCTGTACACCTCCATTGCCAATTTGCTGTTATACGACGATTCCCTCGCACCTACCCGGTGCGGTACAAACATTACAAATGTCACATGACGGGCAACTTGTGTAGTCGACGACTCATCGTTCGCATGGCAGCTTTTTTATTTTGCATTGGCAGCATGACTCATCGAGTTTTTGTAAAAAGCTCAACAATTCTGAGAACTGCGAGCTTTTATCTGCACACACATGTGTAAAATATGTATGTGTTAGTAATGTGTTGGCATTCAACGTAGCTGAAAATTTCCCCTTGTGAATGCTCAACGTATTTGCCATTGACTTTGATGGGCGGTAAAATAATTGGCGAAAAGAAGGCAGAAACCCAAAATGATTATTATGGAGACTGGTAGGAGAAAATTTGTCCAAATTGTCTGTGGAGCTGGACTTTGTATAATATCTTTCTCAAAGTTTCTCTTATTGGTCGCTCAAAATAATATAAGTTGTATCTGTACAGAGCTCCAAACCGTATAGATATTATTAAAACGACTAGAATTGCGACTAATATAGAGTATCTTATTTTATCTTATTAAATAGAGAAATAGAGCTCCAAGCATTACTAAGTGTTTCCATTGCAACATAACATAACTTATTCGATTTTTGACAACTTTTGGGTTGTTTTTTTGTTAAGAGAGGAACTATTCTTGGGAGCCCAGCTGCTGAATAGTTTGTCCCTCGACGTCCCGTTTGTAATTTATTTCGCAAATGGGTTCTGCCGTGAGTAGTTTACATAAGAACAACTTACATACATAAATACTATATTTTGAAATTCATTGCGTTACCAATGCTTAAATCTGTGCAGAAGTTCAGGAGAACTTCACAACAGAAAACAAGAGAGAACGCTACAGTCGAGCAAGCTCGACAGTAAAATAGCCTGTACTCTCCACAAAAAAAGAAAATAAAAAAAAAAAATTTTTTTAAATTAAATTATTAAAAAAAGAGTGAATAAATTAATTAAGTAATTAAAGTAAATTAGAAGACATGTTTTTGTTCAGTTTTAACAGCATACATTTACATCACGTGCCTATTCGTGTTTATATGCGTGTATGTATGCAGCACAAAGTTGAACCAAAGCAGCAGAATAAAAAAATAAACTTGACCTGCCTAGGACTTAGGGGAACCTGGATGCCAAGTTTGGTAATTCTAGCTCTTGTACAGACGGACAGACGGACATATCGACTCGTCTTGTCATCCTGATCAATAATATATATACTTTGTGGGGTCTGCCACGCCTCCTTCTGTGAGTTACATACATGCGCACAAAACTAGTATAGCCTTTCACCCTTTGGGTACAGCTATAAAAATACTATTTTAAATGGTTAGATACTATAATAGTACTGACATTTTGCACTACTAATGTCCAAAAAACGTGCTTAATTGTGAAATAGCTTTGCAACGAAACAAAGGCACAACGCTTTGAAATAAATAATAATAAATATTTTAAATAATCGAAAACTATGTGAAGAGTTATCACTTCTATTGTTTGCGGCGCAATTGTACATAGCTGTATAGTTATAATTATAAAGGGCACTGAATTACTCCTTACGTTAGGTCACGTATTCAGTATTGTTTCAATAGCCATAGATATACAAATGAACTGCATGCCAACAATTGCATATGCTCGTATATAAATATGTACACGTGGCTGTTCATACATAAACATGGTGTATATGTACATATATATAAAATATATGCAGATGTATACTTTTTATTGACTTGTAGAATGTACCGGCAAGTACCCCAACACATTGCATTGCCGGCCGGTTGGGCAAATTTATAGTAATATGTATTGTATTTGTTGTGCCAAGCAGCAGGGAAATTTTATTTCAAATCCCAACAGCTGCTAGGGACATTTCGGAGACCAAAACACACGCAAACACTTGTAGCTCGTCGGTGTGTGCTTAAAGCTCCACACATACGCACCCATACAGCTGCAAAAGTATCTGACTATATCAAACCAGTTTTCTGAGCTTTCATGAATTTCACAACGAAACTAAATTCATGTGCCTCCAACAGACTGGCAGCTAACTTTTAGATGATTTCTGACTGTTTCCCCGAGTTGTCGTTTTGATTCTCGTTCCGTGCTCGTTTATTCCGTATTGAATAGTAGTGGCAAACAGTTGAGTCATACTCTGAAAAAGTCTTCTGTTGAATGTGAAAAGTGGAAATTATCAAATCCTACCAAAACTTACATACATAGCTATCAAAGAAACTAATTCCTAGAAAAGGAAGAAGAATAATTACCTAGTGTGAACATTTTAATGTGATTGTTGTTGTTCTACGTAGGACAATAACTGCGCAGTAAGGCGAATTGTCGAAGAAGGCGACAGACTAGCATTTAGATTCAAACATCGCGTATTGACACAGAAGGTACTGGTGGTGGTAAACCACCAAAGAAATTGCGTCGCGAATTGTGCAAGTGATTGTTTTTGTCGGGTTTTCAACAACCGGACAACTGCGCCTGAATACGAAAATAATAAGTATATGTAAGTAAATCAATGAAGTGAGCAGCAATGCAAGGGGTAGACAATTTTTCCGATAGACATACATATGTATGTATGTATGAGTGTCCATATTTACATACCTAAGTGCATAAAGTGACTTCTCTACTTCACAAGATCGGCTTATAAACGATTATATTAAGTCATGAAATATGCATACATATGTGTTATTTGTTAAAATTAATTTTCGCAAAAGCTTTTCTGCCGGCCGCCATATTGGAAATGCCGTACTGTGCTGTGCACGGGTGCACCTACACAACAGCACAGGCACACCGACACAAAACGTGCACACACACAAGTGAATGAATAGGGGACTTTTTCTATGTACTCGCTGTTGACTTTTCAATTGATATTTATCGCATTACGATGGGGTTGGAATGGTGGTAGGGGGATTGAAATAAGCACTCTAATTACCCAGTGCTGTTGTTTTCCACTACAAACAACATACAATTAGATGAAAAAAACGCAGATAGGAAAATAGATAGAAATGCTCGTAATATAATGGAATTGATCCAAAACAATCTGGCGTTGCCAAGCACTGATTAATTGGCGCTCGACCAACTGCCATTTTGATGTACTCCTCCATGTTGAGTTGTGAAATTCCCTACACGTATGCATATATGTATGTATAAGCTTTCAGATAAGAGAGCAAGCTATTTCGTGGGCGTGATCTTATCGAACGGGGAAGTAATTTACAGTGCCATGGAATAGGCAGCCATATTTAATATAAGATATACTTAAATACAAACCTATTTTCTTTAATTTTATATATTAATGACTAATTCTGGTTTCTCTTCTTTCTTTTTACAGTCTAAGGGGAAAGTGCGTCTACGACTCTTTTTAGAGCTTGTTTAGAGGTTCCCTAACAATTTCATTGTTTCTTTCCAACGGTGAATTAAAAGTAAGTATCTTTTAGAAACCTCTTAGAAAAATTCATATTTTATTTCTATATGTGTTGGCCCACATTAGTTTTTAAGCATGATATAAGAAAAAATTGAAAAAAACAATAAATAAAAAAAAATGAACACAAGAAAAGAAATACATGAAAAAAGTGCAACAAGAAAAAAGGAGCAATTCCAAAAAAGTATATATACATTAAAAAAAGGAGCAATTCCATAAAAAAGGAAAAATTCCATAAAAAAGGAGAAATTCCAAACCAAAAAAAGAAACTAAAGACAAAAATAAACAACAAAAAGCACTAACAAAAAAATTAAAAAAAAAAAACAAAAAAAAATTTAAAAAAGGAAAACAAGGAAAAAGAAATAAAAGCATTCGAAAAAAAGCCACGCCACATCAATCGCCGACACTCACCTATATAAAAACAGCTTTAAAACCGACCAAAACTCTCAAACAAATGTGTAAAGGGGTTTCTTATTTAATACGCGGGTATATCAAGGCAAAAATAATATTCTCTTCCATTCTGCCGATATCCCAAGTCATTGTAAGAGTCCCCTAAGACAAACGTGCGATTGCGCATCCTCTACACAACTCTTCATTTTGTACATTTCTAACCCAACCAATTCACAACCAAAAGTGTGCGATTCCCAGAAAAGGATCGCGCTCGACCTCAACGATCTGTGTAATAACAAAATCTTTTTCTTTTATCTATTTTCTTTTACATAAACACAAAAACAAACCAAATCTCTTAATCGCGCTTGCTCCACTCATCGACATATCCTGTTAAATCTGTAAACAAACAAAAAAACGAAAAATCCTGTTGTTCCGAAACCAATGAACATAAACCGTGGCCTATTATGAAATAACAATATAACACTGTACTGAAAATACGAATTTGCACCAAGTAGCCACGTTCAAAATGGCATTCATTGTCGAATCCCAAGCCAGCCCAGCCAGGCCCAACAGCGAATCAAACCACACCAATACCATCAACCAAGAAGAGAGCATTACCAATACCAGCAGCGCCAACAACGTCGATTATTCGGACAACACCGACTCATTCAACAGTCAGCAGTGCAGAAAATCCCAAAGATATAATATTGATGATCCAGGAGCCAACTCAAGTTCAGAAAGAAGACTCAGACTTCCCTTCATATCAGTACCAGATGAAATCTACGTGGCCCATTTTAATACATACGCAACCGTATTCGAAAATTATTTTGCTCAAGTTGCCCAGGAGCCAAACGCAGAGCAACAGGACAGAGCAGAGCGCGCCTCGAACGCGATTTATCAGAATACCCTTTTTACCAGGGTCGGTACCAGCAACGGCTTCAGTGAAACAGGCCACGCCTACCGCCAGCTTTTCTTTAGCAAGCCCTATAACCTTGGCGGCGACAACATCCCGTACAGCGCCTACAATGACAATATTCCCAGAAGAGTGCTCCAACTCCTACTCTCTGACTTACCAAGCCGCGAACGACCAGGCGGTAGGTCCACCGTCGGAAACGTCAGTGCAAATAGGTTCATTGCCAATGATGGCCCCAACGGTCGAGGTTTCGAGTCCGAATCCGCCACAGACCCTGGCGTCGATGGCTGGGATACAGCTGACAGGTTCCGAATTGCTGTCCCAGCAGGATATGAGTGGAGCAATGCCTACTGCTACAGTTGAAGAGATAAATGTTCCGGTGTTCATTGATGGTGAGTACTGTGTTTGTTGTGTGTGTAATATGTACCAGCACTCTCTCATTACTGTCTAAAAGAGTTGTATGACCTGCTCAAGAATTAGCAAACACCAATCTGAGAGTCAGATAGAAGGCATCGAACGCGGCCGCTCGCTGTTCTGCCCATGACATCGAGGTACAATTTCCACGACGTGCTGCCGAAGATCACAGTGCAATGACCCATTAAAGACTCATGAGCATACGAATCCCACAAAAAAATCATATTTTAAAATACTGTTAGGGTAGAACAAATAATGTGTGCCTTTGAATCTACAGCCTTCTGTACTCGAAACGACTTGTCCTTACAGTAATGGGGGTACCACTCACTGGTCGGCTCTCTTCCAAAAATTTCCTTTATCTACCAATATGCTTATCCATATATATATTCCTCCAACCCCTGGATTACCATTCAGACAGACACTAGCTAGAAATTAGTCAGCTCCCAAGCTTTTAGAGTACAAGCGAATATACGAAATTATATCAGCATCTTCTACTTAGTCTAGAATGTGAATTATCGTAGTAGTTATTCATAACGTTCTATTCTATTCTAAAAATAACATATGTGGCTAAGAAAATTAAAACTTAAGCCAACAACAGGACAGGAGATGTAGCAGATAAATATCCCAGAATTAGGCATAAGGATTCCTCTATATCAGCGGTTGGCACGGGGGAAATAACAACAAATAAACTCGTGTAGCTTAAGGACTAGGAGCATCTACATACCAAGTTTGGCGCTCAACCGTTCCCGAAATCCAGGCGTTCATCCAGACGGACGTACTTGTCTAGACCGATTTCTCTTGTCTGCTGATCAAGAATATATACTTTATGGGGTCGGAAATGGTTCCTTCTGCCTGTTACATACTTTCCACATAGCCTTTTTCCCTATGGGTACAGGGTATAAAAATCACCGGTAGAGTTCTGAGTAAATGCTAGTGAAAATCGAGCAACGACACACGAACCATGTGTATTTTGTTTGTGCATCAATCTGCTTGTGTGTCTGGCTGGCGACAACTACATGTATTTTTTTTTTTGTTATGATATTTTGCCCATCGCTGCTCTACAAGTATATACGAAAGAGAGAAAAACCTCGTATTTCTTATAATTAGCGTCACAGTTTGATCAAAAGCTAACAAAAAATCAAAAACTAGCTACCAATTTGTTAAATCTCACTTTTTATCCCAAAATGATTATTTTTAGTGCTATTAGTTCTTACTCTTACACACGTCCCATCATTTTCAAATAGATTTATCCATTAAGCGGCTACCGAGGAGCTGACCATGTAGCTCAGCCAGAGCAGGCCTATTTCTACGAAAATTGCGGATAATGCTGTCTTGAAATTAATCTGTTACGTGTCCATTGACATACAAATTTTTCTTTGTGACTCATCGAACACATTATCGGCTAGCCTAGGCCAGTTAGTTATTTTATCTCTCGTAGTGGTCAGACTCTAGTAAATGTTTCACAAAGTCCGAGACCTATTCTTTGTCTATATAAGGGCATAATGCTTTAAAAGTATATAGTATATCTGTACATACCTAAAACACTGGGGGTACAAGCCCATATTTCAAACGCACATCACCTGTATTTAAATATTTATACATAATTTGTGCATATTTATACAAAGATATTATACATATATTAAATGTGTACATACATATGTATGTACAAATCACAAAGCTGCTTTGATAACAATTTTTACAGTATTTTCTTTTAAATTTTCTAAAAAGCTATTTATAGTATTCATGTACTAGTATGTACACATGTAAAACACTAGGGGTGCAAGCCCTCAGACAGCCTTTCAGACAAACATCACCCGAATTTATATGTAATTTGTGCATGTTCATACAAAGATGTGCATACTCGTATGTACATATGTGTGTATGTGCCCTATACATATTTCTTTGATGGTAAAGTGTAAAATTCTTCACACATATGTATGTATGTACATATATAACATGTGAGTAGTTTATACAAGTTAGAAATGCTGTTTTGATAAGACATTTGTAAATACAAAATAAAAAAAATAGTAGCAAATCGAATCAAATCATTAGAAAGCCATTTATAGTTTGTATATAGTATACTTGTATATATGTACATATTTACATGTACGACGAGTGAGTTTTGACTCATGACCTACATAATTTGGCGTCCGATCGTTGTCTAACCTGCACATGGGGGTGGCTTTTTCATACAATTTTGACTGGCAGTTGCACTCCATATTTAAAAAAAAAATTTATATAATGAAATCATTAAAGTAGAATTAAATGAAAATAGTGTAACTTTGCTTAACTTTTTTCTTATACTTTTGTTAGTTACTTTTGCAAAGCAACCCCACAGCTCCAATTTTGTTGTGAAATTCGATAATGTGTGTGTATGCGTGGATTCAAACGTATGAGTTGCATAAAAATTGAGAGAGCCAATAGTAAACCAATACTCGTCCACCATTGCGACCACTTGTAGCGTGTGAGCGTGCTCTTCCTCTCTTCTCATTTTCCCCACACAAATACATGCATGGAAAATGGTTGCCGGTTAAATCGTACATACATAGTTACATATTTACATACACATCAACGCACTTATTTACAATTACAAATACATTAGCTTATTTAAAATACTAATTAATGACAAGTTTCAAACGCAATATAAAATCGTTGTTGTACCAATTTCCACCGGCCAATAGGCCCTTAAAGCACGTCATAAATATGTTTGAAAGGAAAACAGCTGCTTTTCTCCTCAAGATGGTGCCGCAAGCTCCCTTGCTCTGGTGAAATTGCTTCTGCAATTTTTATTGGCGCTTAAGTTGTTCAGCTTTATATAAACATACATATACAAAAACGCATGTATTAGGATAAAACAAGTGCTTCACCTCTAAGCTTAAAAGCACGGCGCTGCTCTTAGAGCAGGTCAGAAATTATGTGTATCATGTCAATTATGTACATTTATTTAACCCATGCCAAAGCGAGATAGCACTTGTTCAATTCCGCTCTCACTATTCTGCACAGAATTCTCTCTCTGTCTCTCTTTGTCGGATGATCGACACACGCATACACACAGACTGGGCCAAAACCTATTGTCGCTTATTTCTGCTTAAGTTAACGTTTCGGTGGAGCGCATCATTCAGTCGCGCTTTTCCCTCCGTACTGTAAGGAGTTGTGTTCTGGTGGACCGCAAAGATACATATATTTCGGGGTGAATATATTTGATTTTTGTTATTGCCAATGAAATTGTTGTTTCAGCCAAAAGCCACCTATTAGATAAAATATACATAGTTTGGAATAACATTTGTCGCACGTCCCATAAATGCATATTTATTTTCATTTTAAGAATTCTCTTCTATTAGGTGGGCTTTTGTGCACCGAGTAATATAAAATCATATAAAAGGCCAACATTTTAAGTAAATAAATGGTAGATTATTTGTTTTAGTATGGAATAGGAAAGATACGTATTTAATATAACCGTCCCATACACATGCATATCAAATCCATATCAACTTTGTCAGAAGCGAACATGCACATTCTTGTCCGCATTTTGGTTTGTTTTGGTTTACCTTATGTCCGTATATACGTAAAAGCCCCTCACGTACATATGAATGTATGCATCTGTGTGTGCGGTTTTTTGTGTGTTTACTTGCTCGACGTTCGAGTTTGCCGGCTGACTCAGAGAGCGGTCAGCTGTATTGTGAACACACATGCATATGTCAATACATACATACATGTATGTATTTGTAGGAACTTTTTTACACACAGAGTGTGTAAGAGTTGGCAGTCAATGTGTGTGAACATACATACATACGTATATGTACGTATATTTGTAAGAATGTTTTTAGCAAAAGTTGTGCGCCTTTTGATAGATGTGAATTTATTCTGTTTCTGTTTTTTCGTCTCTCGTTTGGGTTTCTTGGGTTTGAAAGAGCGAATTTCACAACAAAGCGAGACAGGTGGTGTATTGATAGCTTATGCTAATATATCTTTCTCATTTTTATTCCACCGCCAAAAACTATGCTACAACTTTTTGTTATATACTGAATTCATTTTTTTATTCTTATATTTAAAACTCCAAATCACTGTGCCTTAAAAAAAACAAATGAAAAATTTCAAAAGCAATAATTGAATAATTATAAACTCAAATATTAGGTAACCAATGAATGAATTATAATATATTCGTGGCCATTGTACGCACATGCGGAAAACCGAGCAGCAATTCGATCTTTCTTCTCCTTATTGGACATTGGTACTAATTATTACTTAACTTTTATAGAATACCTGCAAGACATAGAAGCAGCATCGTCAAGAAACAGCAACAAAAGCGATAACGGAAACGAGATTTGCACGGAGACGGATATTTGTGACTTTAATATGGACTTGATTGCAGGAGGCATAATGGATGATGATCAGCTGCTATGTAGCATCCAAAATAAAGACGACATTTTTGACAACAACCTTGACTTTTTCATGGAGGACATTGAACGCAATGGTAACTTAATAAATATTAGCGGGAACTTACACGTAACCTTGGACAGCTGCATGAAGAGCTCACAAAACCCAATGCTCGGCAGCTTTTCTCAAAATTCAGAAATATTATTTAATGAGGAGCCGATGATTCCCGATAACAACAGCATCACAGAAAACTTTACCTACTGTAGTCAAAATTCTCTGGGGTTTGGCAACTTGGAGCACGAGGAAGCAAAACCAATCATTAAGCAGGAAGTGAGCGGCATTTACACGTCTTACAAAATTAACGAAAACATTTGTGTGGGCGCTAAACGGACGGCGTCGACTTCTGGACTCGATATCTTTTCTACACAACCAGCAAAACGCAGCAATCTAAAACTGTCGCTTGTTTCAACTCCAAACCCTACTTCACAAATTTTAAACACTCCACAACTAGTTGACTCTATATTGGACTTTGAAGAGGTGAGTCGTTATTTAAATTCCATGCTAATTTATTTACTAACTTATTTCAATTTCAATCCCACCCTCAGCTCAAGCCAAAGGAAGAAATTCACAAGGATCTGCTCAGCACAGAGGAAAATACCGTCAGCACTTTCAATGATTTCTCAGCTCCAAACACTCCGCAGAGCACCTATTCGGCAGTCTCATCCTCGAAGCTTACTAACCGAACTGGAGGCAGCGAATTCATCACCGCACCTGTCTCGCCTGCCTCACCTGCCTCCACAATCTCAACCTCCCAATTCAGCATAGGCTCAGCCAGCGGAAGTGTAAGGCGAAAGCGCGGCCGACCTGCAAAAGAACACAGCGATGGCCCAGATCCTGAGCTAATGTCTCGGTTGGACGATGAGGAGCGCAAGGCATACACAGACCGCCTGAAGAACAACGAGGCGAGTCGCCAATCTCGCAAAAAGACAAAGCAACGCGAGGAAGAGGAGATTCAGGAGGAAAAAGGACTAACAACAGAGAACGACAAGCTGAAAATAATATCGGAACGGCTCCAGCGCCAGGAGAATCGTTTGAAAAAGGCTGTGGAAAATAGGTTTTTGCAGAACAGCACTTACAACAAACATGGCCATTAGGCAGACCACACTCAGCCACAGCGTCAGCCATATAAGTCGTACCTCCATGCAGATATAAGTTAGTTGTTATTGTTGTCATTAAGTTTTAAAATGTCGTCGTTGTAGTCGATTATCGCTAGTGTGGGATGCCACAAAAAAATAATCACCAGAGTTTCGGGTGAAACACTTTACAGTGTAAAGTTTAAACACAATATTTAACATTTAAGCAAATGTGTCATGTTAAACGTGCACAAATTCTATTATTATTTGGGCAAACATTCGTGCGCCCTGAACAGATTTGTAATCTATTTTTGTGTAATATTTGTCTATTTTTTAACCAACCACTGATTTTAACAAATTTATTTCTTGCTTTTTGTAAGTGTGTATTTAAAATTACAAAAACAAAACAAAAATCCCTAAAACAAGAAAAAAAATTACAAACTTGAAAAAATGAACAAAAACATGATTATCTATTACAAAATATACTAATGTTTATCAACATTATAAATGTTTGAATAAAGCATAAAAATGCAAACTTTGTTTCTTTTCACTAAGACAGAGGGAATGGCACCAATAACGATTTTTCATTTCAAAAGTGTTATCGTCGTTATCGATACTCGTATTAAATTATTCTAACATGAAAGGAGGGGAAAACGATTCAACGATTATTTAAAAATTTTGATTTTTCATTTGATTAAATTTAAAATTGGTTTGTATACCCTCACTTCGATTTTTCCCACACACACATACTATGTTGCAGTCGTGCGTTGTCCTTTTAACATTTTCAATTTTTAAAGACAGACTTGTATGGGAAATAAGATGAATTGCTTCAATTCAGTGCTCGAATGAATATAAAATAAATTAATATATTACTTTACTCCACCCCTGTTATAAAGCTACTTCCTCCAAAAAAGCATTCTCTGTGGCGCACATAAAAGTGGAGTATCAAACAGACGGCTAGTATTCATTAATTAGGCTTTGCTAAAATTAATTACACTTTGCTACACATAAAATATGGTTCAAACAAACGCATTTCCATTTAACATATAAAATATGTATCCTAAATTGCTTTGGTTGAAGTTGCCTTTTCATTCCTGGTGGAGAATTGTCCAAATGGCCGTTTGCAAATGTGAAGCCCAATTGGTACACACTGTCATACAATTAATTAATACTTACTTATGCATATAAACAAAGGATATATTGGTTTCCATTTACATATATTTATATTTATCGTTTATTGTGCTTAGGCATCACTTCAAACAAAACTAAAAACTAATTTAAAAAGGGGCTCTTTCTAGAAGAAAACGCAAAAGAAGCCGAAAATTTGCATAAAAAAAGGTTATGGATTTACCAATTTATTTGTTGTAAGGTGATATTTAGATTAACTCATTCAGTTCTGCGAGGTTCGCATTCGTACGACAATTTTAGCAGTAAGGTGTATTCCTTTGTCATTTTAAAATTTAACATTTAACTATTGGCGCGCACTATTGGTATTGAGATGATAATTTGCTTTAAACTAGTGCGAGTATTGGCAAATATCGATAAAAATAATGACAGTTTTTTATAGTTTTTATGGGACCGGTGACAAAAATAAAAAAAGTGGGCAAAAAGCCAAACACATTTATAAACAAGAGAGAACGCTACAGTCGAGCAAGTCCGACAGTATAATACCCTGACCCCGGGTAAACTTCCGTCACTGAGTGATATGCGCCCAAAGCAGCAGCAAAAAGAGGAAGAAGAACTTGTTGCTGCAGTTTGTGGTTGTACTGGCGAGAATTTGTTTCGCTAATAACTTTTCTTAGAATCGACCAAATTGAATAACATTTTAAACAGCAGTAGATAATTATTTGTAAATTATGTGTGCAAAGTTTGGTTTAGGTAGCATTTGAAATGTAGACGCTATTGACGAAATTCTGTAGCGGGGGAAGGGGGAGAAAATTAAAAAAAATAAAATAAACTCGTCCTTACTCGGATCTAGGAGAATCTGGATGCCAACTTTGGTTATTCTAGCTTTTATAGTTTCTGAGATCCTCGCGTTCATCCAGACGGACGGACAGACAGACGGACGGACATGTCTAGATCGATTTCTCTCGTCATGCTGATCAAGAATATATATACTTTATGGGGTCGGAGATGCTCCTTTCTGTATGTTACATACTTTGCACAAACCTAATATACCCTTTTTACCCTACGGGTACAGGGTATAAAAAGTCCAGAATTTCCGCTTCCCGCAATTCTCAATTTTTTCTCGCAACAGCCAGATTTCACGGGAAAAAAGCAAAATTGGCAGCCCTGATTAATACACAAACACACTCTCTCGTGACTGTTGCTCTCTTCTAAGATGAAGATGAGATGAGAAAAGAGAATTAAAAGACAACCCAAATCAAATTTGTATATAACTGTTAATCAACATTGTTTTACACAGGATACCAAGAACGGTGTTATATATGTACGACATTTCGATATATATATATTTTTTTGATTAAATAAATTAAAAAGATAATTACCCATACAAAACATTTTACTCTTAATTTTATGTACAATGAATAACGATTACACCAATATACGTATATATCAGTAATGGGGAATTCATGCAAATATTCTTATACTTATACTTACATTTTTAACAATTTAATATAAAGTATAATTTGCTTGTAATCCCCTTCGCAATGATCCTTGCCTACGACCATACCAAAGTGCCAGTTGTGTAAGTTAATTTACAGCTATATTTTTTTACTCTTTGCTTTCACTTTCCCATTCTAAGAGAGAGCACAGATGACAGTTGCAGGTCAAGGCTTAAGATTGGCGCGTCGCGGTGTTTATTGTTGGCATTATAGAAAATTATTACGAAATTAAAATTAAATACTATTAAAATAATGCTAAATTTGTGTGTATTTCGTTGTGTCTATATATGCGAATGAAAAATGGAAAAACTTTGTGGAATTGTGGATATGCGTCAGGGTGTTGCGTGATCTATAGTACAAGTATGTATGTATGTACACCTAATTCTGTTTTTACACGGTAGATTGGTTCCAGGAAAAGTCGTGTAAACAAAACCGTGTATTTTAAATTTTTAATTTTCATAACCATTTTGTAAAATTCATTTTAGAAATCAACTTAAATGAAAAGCTAATTAAACGATCAGAAATTATATGTGTGTGTACATACATACATATGTGTAACTACGCTGTTCTTTGTATTTTTAAACACTTAAATTGTTTTTACTGGTTTATTTCGTGCATGTGTGTGTGCCTATGTATCTGTATATTTTGTGCATATTCGCTTAAATGCTTATGTTAGTATGTAAGGAGCTCTACATTTAAATAAACTTACGTTACTACTCCGTATGTTTTGTTGGGGCTGCCTTGCATTTACATTTACATTTTTCTAACATGTCTTCATTTGTTAGTCAATGGAATTCAAACCAAGCTAAGTCATCCAAAGTGCATAGTTTTGGGCAGCATGCTTTGGACAAGCGGAGCAAATATTGTAGCCCTCTTTTAGGATCATCATCAGTCTGTTTAAAAATTTTGGAGTGCTGTGATTAAGATTTAAAACTTTGCAATTACAACTATAATGAATTTATTCAGAAATTTGGGTTTTCAAGTAAGTCAAAACAATTTGCTAGCCAATCGTATAAAAATAACAATTTTAGTTTTAATAATTTGCCTAACTATGCTGGCTTGTACCAGCTAACAATTTTGATCAGTTGCCATTTCAAAAGTGTGCCAAATCAACCAATATAGACTAAATTGCTTGGAACACTCCACTATTTAGGTTGAGCGGTGCGGCGTGACGAGAAAGCTATGCCGTTTTCCCAGAGCTTAGAATCGCCCGGCAGGCAAAGGCAGACAACAAGTGCGATTTATATTTGTTGGTCAAATCGACTTTGCATGTCTAGCTATTATTAGTGGTAGTAATGTTGTTGGGCCTCGTGTGTAAATATTTGAAATGACATCGCACCTATGTTGCTGACGGCAGCTTACGCTGTCTGCTCCTTTGATCCGTAATGATAGTTGAGAAAACGGATGCCCTGTATGGACTGAGCCGTGGCGTTGGTTAAATGGCAAGCGAAGAGGAGCCAATTCCGAGGCTGCACCTTGTAGGCGAACCGCATGAAAATGCACGAGTAGAGCGTCAGAGCTGTGGATCAGAGCAACAACAAAAAAGTCGGGAGTGTTAGTTAAGGTTCGACAATCTAGCAAAGCACAGTTTTAATATCAATTGGGGTCTGTCTATGTCCGGGCTTATCAGCGGCAGCCCACAGCGACGGCAGTATCTGAATCTTCTTATCAACGCATTTGCTAACATAAAATGTACGGACGGAGTACGCGTGCATGAGGCATGTTTATAATTCGAATGTCATCTGGCGAGAACTAGACTTATGCCATATTTGGCATGTGCGCCTTCGTGATTATGGAAATGTTTCAACGAAACCTTATTAATTCCCCGCCGTCTCCGACGCTGCTGCTAATGAAGCCTACACGCACGCAGCCCCTAAAACCTGTTGAATGTGTATGTCTAGACGCCACAAAAAACACGCACAATGCGAATTGTGTGTCTGCCACTCACCCAGAGTCATTTTTCCGGAAATGAATTTTGGGCTCTTCTGCGTATCTGCGATAGCTGCCAGCGGTATTCCCCAATTGGCCACGGGTCCCCAGAAATGGGTGCTGTAGATACATAGATACAATTAATTAAAATCAATTGAAATCATTTCAGTTGTAAGCCCACCTCATAAAGTAATCGCGCCACTCTTTGGAGGCCGTAGTGGCCATTCCGCGTCTGATTGACATGTCTATTAATTAATTTGACTGAAGCCTGATTGCTGATAATATGTGGGTGGGGGTGTGTGCGTGTAGGCGTTACGTTTTTGTTGTGGCGACAATTCAGATTTGACTCTCGCTCTCCTTGCTCTCACTGCTGCCCTGAAGTGTGCGTCGTTTTTGTTTTTAGTTTTGACTTGGCCTTGGCATTGGCTGTAAACACTGGAAATTTATTGCTGTCGTGGCCTAAAGCTGTCCTGGAAATAACAAAAAATTAATGGGACGTTAATTTTTTACTTGCAATTTTTCTAAAGTCTATTAAAATAAAATTAATTTGACACTGACACTTGAACAAAAGTTATGTAAATGCGTTCGCGTCGCTCTTCATACACGAAATATTTCGAAAATTGCGTATCAGATCAACCACGAGCCTAACCCACAACCAACTCACCTGATTGAATACAAGTTCGTACTGAAACGTAGAGTCACCGTATTGCTCTATTTACGTTAAACGCTAGCAACAGCTGTTGCATGTCAGCTGAATACCGCAATTATCGTAGGTATTTATCGATGCTGCCATACTGTCAACTGCTAAATCAGCTCTCTCTCACTGGCGGCAAAGATGACATTTGAAACAATACTGGTGGTTATTAAACAAATAAATTTGTTGTTACGAAAGCGACTTGTTCACGAATTATATTTATTAATTTAAAGCTGTGAGCGTTCAGTATCAAGAGCACGCCACAGCTGGTGGCATCACGTTTGTTCAATGCAGAGGTCGTTACGCCCGCTCCACCATACAAATGAATTTGCACAGGATTTGCTGAATTGTTAATCTGTTGAAATATATGTAAATGCCTTTATATCGTCCTCTTAAATTACATCGTCATTTGTGAAATCTAAAGATTTTGTAGGTTTTAGTGAAAACTTTGGCAATGCTCTGGCAGCAGCAGCAGTTGTTGTTGTTGCTGCTTAGACTCAACTCCCTCTACACCTCCCACATGAACGTGTTCAGACACAATCTCGATGCTAATGTGTGCTTTTGAACTCTATAACTTCTTATACGTTAACGACGTTGCGACACTTTTTAATTTTTACCTACGCTGCAGTATATTGATGTACCTTTAACAATTCGGGTACAAGATTTTGTTTGATTCCAACACTGCGTCTAGCTTTCTTTCAAGGTAATTACTTATGATATTGTTAAAGCAAATAAACACTGACTCTAACTGTCTGTCTATTTAAAATAATGAACACTTTTCTTCGATCTGGCTGCATTGTTTCGTAAATGAGTTTCCGAGTTGGCAGCCCGATTTTTTAACGCTCTGGCAACTTCTCACTAAAGCGGTTATCGCTTAAAATGAAATATATACAAATGATCAAACACTTTTAGGATATTTACACCCACTGGTAAAGCGTTAAACAAATCATCGTTTCGAGTTATGAAGTTAATCTGGTTATTTATTGTTTAAATAAAGCTAAACTTTTTGGGCCAGCAAAAATTGTCGTAGATACGTTACATTTCAACTAATTAGAAAAAAAAAACAAAACTTCAAGAAATGCTTTTCAAAATTGCAAGCGCTGAATAATTATAAAATTTGCACATTTCTTGGCAATTATATATATAATTAATTGCATGCGCAGCGTTTTTGAAGTATTTAATCTGTGGGAACCACTTCCGCTCTTTAGCCATGCGCTCTTAAATGGTCCCAATCAAAGAGATGCCCAAAGCTTCGTGCGCCACTGTGTGCTGCCCGAGTCCTTGGACTAACGTGTCGCAGCACGAAGGCCCAACACCAATGACGGTGCAGCATCCATGAGCCAGCTCTGGCGACAGTTTTCGCTTGGGCCACGCGTCAGTGAGAATCTGAATCTCGAGAGTGACGGCACGGCGGCGGCGAAAGAGTCGGTAAATGTGGTAAATGGCCCAAGTGATACACAAACAACAACAATGTTGATAGGCATGGCAAATGGAAATGGAGAATTGTCAAAGCAAAAAGGAAAAGATGTGCTGCTTCTGCAGATGATGATGCTGCTACTCCAGCCGCTGCCTCCGCCTGCTGTGTAATCCTTGGCAATGTGCCGTGAGTGCGTGAGTGTGTGCGTGACTTGCGTGTGTGGGTCAGTGAGCACTTTACATGTGCAGTCCCGAAATAATGAGAAGAAAAAATAACAAACATTTTTGGAAACCAATTTGTTGTAATTGAAAAATTTACTGCTGGTTACATATGCGCGCTTTGGTTTCCCTTAGTCTGCATGTGTGTTGTTATGAATGTATGTGTGTGTGTGTGTGTGCAAACGGGTGTGTGCTGGTGTTGGTGTGTGGGCTCGTGTAACTATGAAAAGGCAACGACAACGGCGACCGCACCACAACCCCCAAAAGTATGCTATGGCAGCGCAAGAAAAATCAATCCCCCGCTCGGCAACGAACGTGGGAGTTGGTTTTTCCTCAATGGATGAAATTTGCTACAATTTCCCTGAAATGCAAAACTGAAAACTACAAGAAAAAAAAAAATTCTGATAACTTGAGGCTTGAAGTTTGCAAATTCATTTGTAAACGAAAATAAATGATAAACTGCACAGAATAAAGATACGAGGCGCGCGCACAGAGCAGAAAAAGCGTGTAAACGCTTTTGCTCTGCTTTTGTCTAAGGCGTAAGAGCCGCTCCCAAAAAATGTCCGAATTTATCAGCAACCGCAACCACAACAACAATAGCAGCAGCAACATGATTGAAAATAGCAACAAACGCAGATAGTACTCGTAAAAAATAAAAAGTAACAAAATCAACAATAATAAAACTAGAAAAAAAATTAAATTCTAATTTGTATGAGCTACTTAGTTCATAGAATTAATTACTCTGACTACAAAGTTTCCAAGAACAATAGTAATCTGAAAGCTGAAACAAATCCTGCCCAGCGTCCAGTGCAGACAACTGGACGTTGGCAATGGGCGTGTCGCAGATTTTGGTAAACAACATTCGTGGCGCGCGACCTACTTAAGTAAAACTGAAGGTCTTTGCTATTATTTGTATACTCTTCTGCGTTAATTAGCTGCCGCCTGCAAAGCGAATATAAAAATTTTCCGAAGCCCCAGCAACGCAACTGCCATAGCCACTAAATTAAATAAGTGCAGTGCGAAATGAGGCCGATCCGTCATTGTGGGATAATGTAAATAAGAATAGGTATGGGTACGGGTATGGGTATATGCCCAAAGACTCTTAACTAGCAAATTGTGGCGTTGATTGGTCAGTCAGCCTCCCTCTGAGATGGCAGCGTAACAAGGTTTCGCAAAAATAGGCGGTTAATTCTAAATATGAATCGAGAAATTATTTAAAATGATTTTATAAGTGAATGCTATTAAATAATTCTCGAATAGAAGTTAGAGTTCACAAAAACCGATTAATGCTAGGAAATTATTTGCATATCAGATTAAGTCTTCCTTAAGAAATCTTACAGCAATAATGTACTCGTATGCCAGAACAACATCTAAGAAATCTGCTTTGAATGAGATATAATTCTTATTATCCGATTATTGTTTAGGCTCACGATCACGTTGCAGGCGCATATCTAGAACGAATATTATTAAATTCATGAGAAGCCTAGCGCAAATAACAAATTTACAGACAGTCGGACAAATAGAAAGAGCTCCACTATTGCGATAGTTAAAGTGTCTAAATCTAAAGTTGTTTACTTGTTTAGTTTGATTTAATCAAGTGGATGGGCTACACACATATGTATGTCTGTGTGTGTATATGTATATAAGCATTTGGATAAAGACAGACGGAGGACCAGAGAACACACAACAAAGCGATGGTGATGACAATGTAAATTAAGTTTATTATGCGCACAATTGAAGACGCTTGAGCCATTGAGATGAGTTGAGGGTAATGTGATGTGATGTGATGTGTCTGTGTGTATCAGAGCTGAGGTGCTTTGTTTGCCTATCTTCCTGTGACTGTGGGTGTGTGTGCGTCAATTTGAAAATCCAACGCTGCAGCAATGCCTAATACAATAACAGCAGAAAAAATGTTGAAATGAATTGCAAAAGGCGTGCGTGTGTGGCAGTCGTTAAAATAGATTTAGTTGCAAAATTACGGGGCTCGCGTGAGCACGAGTTGGCGGCGGCATCAGCAGCAACCACAGCATTTCTAATCCCAAGACAATACATGGATGCTAATCGCTTATAATGCGCTTCTGTCTCGCCGACAAGGATTTCCTGCAGTGCAAATAGAAAAAGTAACAAATGAGAAAGCAAATGAATTGCAAGTGCATGAAGTGTTTAAGTGGATGGTGAATTGTGAAAAATAGTGTCGCGATACTACACAAAAGCAACACATCAACGGCAACGGCAACGACAACGTGAGCAGCAACAGCAACTGCAACAAAGTGTTCAACAAACGCCACAACGGCAAAGGATATAATCTGCAGCTCCCACATGCAGCCCTTGTCATTGTCACAGTTGTAGCAATCGCAGGTACTCTACATAGGTACGTATTTAAACATACACGTATAGTACATGAGTAAGAAAGTCAATTAATTAAAAATAAAAAACATAAACAACGAACTGGAAAAGTGCTCAGCAAGCACGAAGACAAAAAGAGACCATGAAATACTTCAATACAAAAGTCCAAAAGGGCGTGTTGTCTTTACCCCTGTGTGTGTGTGTGTGTGTATATATGTGTGTTCCTCTCAGCGTGTGCGTGTTGTTGTTTTCATTGATGTTGTTGTTGCTGCTGCTGCTGCTTCTGCTGCTGCTGCTGCGCCTTTTTACATGTAATAAAATTGATGATAAAATAAAAATGGATAATGGGCGATTTTCGGCTCTGCTCTTCGTCAGGCTGCCAGGCGTTTGGTTCACCAACGTACTTACGCTCCCGTTGCCGCTGCCGCTCTCGCGCTCATTCGCTCACTCTTTCTCCTCTGCACATCGCAGCAATACCATTGTTGTGCTGTTCAATCCTTTTGGCTCTCGCTCTCTCTTTTTATTTCTGTGCTCTTGCGATGAAAACGGCTCGCTCTTTATTGATAGTAAGTGGAGCAGAGGAGGGGCTGGCTCTATGCACATGCCGCATTCTGTCGCTGATAAGAATGACACCCACTCCCTGCCACCGATTTCCGTAGCACTACACACCCTCATAAGGATACACATACACACACGCAAAATATACATTTAATGGTGCTGGTGCGCAGTCTTCGATGCTACGCCTATTTTATGTTCCCTTAGTCAAAAAATTTTAAATTTTAATCACGATAATGTGCGGCAGATAAAACTGCCAGCCAACACACAGCCAAAAGATGCGAGTTTTAGATACGCCAGATCCACCGCGAGAGCCACCCCATAGCCATTGGTATCGCATGGCCGTTGTCAACAAAAAAAAAAGAACGACCAACCAACTAGATAGCGGCTGCTCCAGCTTTGAGCTGCTTGGCTTATTAAAGGCGCACGTAGCTCGTCATGAGCTGCTCGGACGCATAATTTCCTAGTATTTAGCCGGGTTAATTGCCAAATATCGTGTTGATAGCTTAAGTGTTTCATGAGGCGCCATAATGTGCCTAATCTACATTCGCACACACACACACACACACACACACACACACACACACACACACACACACACACACACACACACACACACACACACACACACACACACACACACACAAACACATGATGAAACATTCATGTAGGGACCAAATTAATTTCTCGCTGCACAATTTAAACTGTCAACATCGGAACATGTCGGAATTATACAAGAACATACTCTAATTATTTAAACAAAATTCTGAAAATATTTTAATTTAGTCACATCTGCCACAGAATTTGTCTTATCTCCTTGTAATTAGTACATTCAGAAAAAAATTGTTTTAGATTGGAGAAGATGGTGCTAACAAACGCGCTGCTATAAAATTTTTTTTTGCATTTTGCAGGAATATTGTTATAGCCTGTACCCTAAGTGTAAAAGGCTATATTAGTTTTGTGCGAGTGTACATAGACCTCACAAAGTATATATATTCTTGATCAGCATGACGAGACGAGTCGATCTAGTCCTGTCTGTCTGTCTGTCCGTCTGACCGTATGAACACCTGGATCTCAGAGACTATTAGAGGTAGAGTCACCAAACTTTGCACCATGATGCGTTATGTGTGTACGATGTGCCAGTTTGTTTTATTTTTTTGATTTCTTCCCCCCCCCCCCACTTCACCCTATGGGGGTTTTCCCGATTTTCCGTTCGTATAATCACCTATATGTCGGAGACCATATAACCTAAGGACACCAAATTTTAGTCCAAGATGCCTTATGTGAATACGCAGAAAATGTGTATTTTGGAATCTCCCTCCCTCTCTCCTCTCCCCCGCAAATCGCGATTTTCTCTAACTCCGGATCGGGTGGTGGCAGATCTTCCTTCCGATCTCGAGTGACCTCTCCATGTTTCAGATTAGGGAGGAAAGGGGCTGTGTTTGTGGATCTATCCTTACTATGCATGTGCGGGCTCGGAATCGGGTGCATACAAATTTTTATAAATCCCTTCAGAGTCTTGACTCAAAACGATGATAGACTGATGGACCTGAAGTCTTTTGGTTTATCCTGCAAACAGAGTTCATAAAAATTGCTAAAATCTACTTTTATAATTTTTTGCATTTTTTGTTATTTTAGTAACAGTAAAATAAAATATCACATTTATTAAAAGCATTGTAAACCTATTTTGGAAAAACCTAATCAATTTACAATAACATCTCATAAGGAGCTACAAAAAAATTTTAAAATATAATTTCCAAATAAAAACAAGAGAGAACGCTACAGTCAAGCAAGCCCGACAAAAAAGGAAAAATTAAAAAAAAATATTAAATTATTAAAAAAATTGAATTAATTAATTAACTAAATTAAATTAGAAGACATGTTTATGTTCAGTTTTAACAGCATACATTTACATCACGTGCCTATACCTGTTTCTATGCGTGCATATATGCAGCACAAAGTTGAACCAAAGCAGCAACAACAACCACAGCTGCGGGAGCGCTACAAGCAGAGCATGGGCAGCGACTTTATTTATGGCTATAACTTCATATAACTCTTCATAACTGACCTATCATGATGACACTTAACATACGGACAAATAACCACGAACTGGATGTATATGCCAAATTTTAGTTCAAAATTCCAAGAATTACCGGAGTTAGGAAAAACACGAATTGCGGGAGAGTGGGGAGTGTATCAGAAAAAAACCACACCCTCGATCTGCCTAGGGCTTAGGGGAACCTCAATGCCAAGTTTGGTTATCCTAGCTATTGTACTTGCTGAGATCGTTGCGCTCATACAGACAAACGGACGGACGGTCAGACGGACATAGCTATATCGATTTGTCTTGTCATCCTGATCAATAATATATATATACTTTGTGGGGTCTGCCACGCCTCCTTCTGTGTGTTACATACATGCGCACAAAACTAGTATAGCCTTTCACCCCTTTGGGTACAGGCTATAATAACAACTTATCAGAGAAAGTAAATTAGAATTAATGAAAGGCTAGCTCATTAAATTTTAAAGAATAAACAAATGGAAAATATGAATAAAAAAGGAACCTCGGACGCTGTGGGAGAAGATTTCTCACAGCCGTGTGGGGTCAGAGATTCTGGAAGTGACTAAAGAGGCGTTTTTAGGAAGGAAAGAGAGAGTTCGGTTGATGGCAGATGGAAAAAGCGTACATATGTAAATGAAGAATAAATCCCGGGAAGGATTAATCAATGCATAGTTAGTTGCACATCTATTAAGAACAAGCAGAGAAGCTAAAGTCGCCTTCAAAATACTTTGTAAATATATGTAGAATAATTATAGAAATTAACAAAATTAAACAAAAAATTTTCATTGATTTTACCTCCCTTTGCGTGTCTGTGTGAGCATGTATGCAGTAGAATGTTGATCCAAAGGACCAACAACAACAACAACAGCTGCGGACAGTTCTTGGGTAGAGATTAAATACATAACTCCCTTTAAAATCGGCCTATCATAATAAATCTTAGAATATGGACACTTAATCAAAGCAAATACCTCTAGTTATTTGCTAAATTTGAGGCAAATTCAATTCCAAGAATTACGGGAGCTATGGATAATCACGAATTGCGGGGGGTGAAGGGAGGAGGGAGGGAGGGAGGGAAATTCCAAAATACACAGTTTCTGCGCATTCATATAAGGCATTTGGGACTAAAATTTGGTGTCCATAGGTCTTATAGTCTCCGATATATAGGTGATTATACGAACGGCGTTTCGGAAAAACTTCATTATTGGGGAAGTGGGGGAAATAAAAAAATAAACAAAAATAACAAACTCGTATACACACATTAGACATCCTTGTGCAAAATTTGGTGTCTCTAGCTCTTGTAGTCTCCGATTTCCAGGTGTTCATAGAGGGCTAGATGGACTCGTCTTGTCATGCTGATCAAGAATATTTATACTTTGTGGGGTCTTCTGCCTGTTACATTTTTCAGCTGCGCAAACCTAATATACTCTTGTACATTTCATGTACAGAGTATAAAAATTGCAATAAAACTCATTGCAACAGGAATGCTATGCCACGTCAGAAACAACCCTAATACTGATTGAATGCATGCAGAATCGATTGAAAGCTGTATCATTCCAATGCCACACTGGTCGGAATAAGGTATCCAAGTCGCATTGTGAATAATTTTTCCTCTAGCTCTGGAAGTCTACAACAGCCCTCAAACTGACCTGTTTTTAATGAAAAACATTCCTGTTTTGATGTCGTCGTACTAAGTACTATTTTGATGCCCAATAAATATGTTTGAAAGAGTTTAGTTGTTAGATCCTTGCAATGAAAAACATAGCCAAAGGTATGTCGAATATTAAACATTAACCAAATCTTATGTTTTGATTTATGTTGTCTTCGTTTTTGTGTGTTGTGTCGGCTCATTCTTTTTAGATAGTGTTAACCTAAATAAAATGTTTTTGTTAATTAAAAACTTGTTGATCCTTATTTATATGTACTAATTACTATTTGTTCATTAAAATGTATAGAATATCAACTCTGCTCCTTTTTGTTCCTTTTCAAAAAAATCAGAAAACGCATTTAAGCAGTTTATATTCCAGAAAATTAAGGTAAAAATCATTGATGAATATAATACTATTATGTTAATATCGGAAAAAGTAAAAGCCCATGCCAAGTTGTAATGACACTCTATAAAAAAACACGAATTGTTTTATTTTTAACATGATTGTCGAAGTTGATTGTCATTTTGAGTATTGATTGAAAACGCTACAGTCGAGCAATCCCGACAGTGAAATACCCTGTACTCAGACCAATTTTTGGCACTGAGATATGTAGCTTTCGAAATTTGGACAGTATTGACGGAAGAGCTAGGAGCGTATACCCCAAATTTGGTTCGTACGCATATTTTGGTCTCTCAAGACAGCATACCAAGTTTGGTTAATATGGGCTCAGCTCATATCGAAGTTAGTGAAAGTCGGCCTTAT